CTAATGCGTGTCCTTCCCCCGGTACGGATTTGGATTTAAATGATGTTTTCAGGATTCATATCTTCTGTAGCTGCAGCATGCAATTAATGGTTCAGAGAAAGTAATTTGTAATTTGATGGCTAAAATTGAAGTTGTGGGCACAAATTTCAACAAGTAACAAAAGAAATTATTATTGTGTTTTTACATATCGTAGTCTTAATATTTACATTAATTAGTTTAATGTCTGTATTTTTAGTGTTAAGTTCTACATTATAATTACAGAAGCTCTGGATGTTTCACTATCTAAAAGGATGATTTTGTCTTTTTCTTTTTCTTTAACTCCTCCCCCCCCAAACACAAAAAAAAAAAAAAAAAAAAAAAACAACCGCCACTTGAAAGTTGATCCATCTGCAACAGGGCAGTAAGTCTGTGCTTAGGATAGTATTTTAATCAATTTGTTCAGTTTTTTTTTTTGGGAGCAAACGGTAACTTTCATATAAACTTTAATAAGATATTCAAAAGTATTACAATTGTTGGGCAACTGTCCTATCAACAGATTGTGACTAGCTTTTTAGTCACATTGGAAAACTTGTTTCTGATTTAACTTCCTAAACTAGTTTAATGGCAAATTTTGCCAAGCAATGACTAATGTCATCATTCTCCCTCATAACAAAACAGGAGGAGCAATGCCAAAGAGGTCTACTAACTTAAGTATGGTAATTAAGTAATACATCTCAACTCACAAAGCAGGTTACACCAAAATGATACCACAACATACAATGAAAAGCACGCCAGGCTTAACAAACGCACCGAAAATCATATTAAGGTGGCAAGCTGGGCATAGACCTTAGCCATCTCCTCACACTAGAAACATAAGTGCTCTTTTTTACCATTTATTTTTTCTACAAGAGATTTCAGATTTTGCCAGCTCGTTTAATCAAGTAACAGTGCTCATTGGCAGTAGACAACCCTTTATTTACAGCGTAGTTATGTGGTCACCTCCAAGCCACCACACATTTATAAACTTAATTGGGCACTTCCCTAAAAGAAAAAGAAAATCTTTTCCAGCAATGCAGACTGATGTTTTTCTTTTCCCGGCCCAATCAGTATATGCATCTCAATTGTCGCAGACAAGCAACTGATCTTCTCACAACATCTGCAGCCATTGATTTTGATTCCAGGCAAACTCCAGTTAGTCATCAGTCAAGATAGACCAGAACTGAATGCTTATCCACGTAAAGAATTCCTAGAAACCAAGAACAAATAATCAACCATTGAACATTAGGCACCAATTGCTACCGGAAGATTTATTCAAGTCTTCCAACATTTTAATGTTCCTTTCCTTCTCTTAGAACAGGGTAAGATAGATGTTCCACACTCTTTAGAAAGGAAGGGAAAAAGGAGCACTGAAATAGCACAGAATAGGTTTGACTTCTGGAAGTGCATGAAGTAATGATTTATTCTGTATAGTTTTATTAGGGATAAGTTAAACAACTAGAAGAAACTCCTCAATCCTGACAAATGTGGTCCATCAGAACTTGAAAAACAACTAAACACTGCCTAATGCCAAGCAAATACTGACTTTTCGCTGCCAACCTGATATTGGCTTAACTTACCTTACATTGTTATGGAATGCCACAATGAACAATTTCTCACAATCCTGCATAGGTCTGCTTAATTTTGGCTACTTCATCACAACATCCATATTTATTCACTGTCCCCATAAATGATATCTCCCTCTTGTGAAAATCTCTTGTTAGAGACAGTCACTTCCCTAGCGCATAGTTCTAAATGACTCCAGCTTTTTCATCACAGTATATTATAAACAAACAAAGCTCGTTATCGTAAACATGAACCAGGTTCAAGTTATTATTAGAGAACCATTTAAGGCTGGAAAACAAAAACATGAACCAGGTCGCTAAGTTGATATTAACATTAGAAACCATTCAAGGCTGGAAAACAAAATTACCATGGACTTATCTGAAGAACATTGGTTCTTTTGCAAGCTAACAAGACCATTGCAAAGCCTTTTCCATAGATCTCACATATTTTTGGTGGCTTAGCATGGATATGAAGTAGACAAATTCCACCGCTCGCTCTTAGCTGCAAGAACAGCAAAAGATTTAATTGAGCAACAAAGCAATTTTAGCTGTAAACCTCTCGACAAACTACATTTGTATTATCTGAGTTAAAAATATAACCAAGTAGTCAAAGAACCTAATGAAAGCACTTTCTAAGTAGTCCTTGTAGTTATGGCTCAACTTTAGCATAAATGGATATAGTTTAAGAACTCTAATCAACTCAAAACCCTAACTCTCGTCTTGGGCAGTTCTTTTAAACAAGACAGAGAAACAGATAACGAAAGCAACTTTGTTCAAAGTTCAGAATTGTCTTATGCCATGAGAGCCTAAAAATGATAGGACAAAAAGAAACAGAGGTATCAGGTCATGCTGGCATATTACTCCTAGAGTTGATGCCGAGGCATTTTTCCCTCTTAGATCCTTGGGAAAATGAAAAATCTACAAATTGAGGTACCTGAATTGAGTTCTGAAATGTGAGTTTCCGATATTTCCTTCAACCTCATGTAGAAGCTGCCTGCAAGTATGCCCGTCTAGCAGGCCCTTCCTTGTAACTCTTGCAATAAATGCTTGGCATCTTCGGCCCCTCTTTGGCGACAAGTTTCATCAAGTATGGTCCTATAGGTGATAAAATCAGCTGATCTTTGGTTTTCAGTCATCTCCCACAAGTACTTCCACCGCTTCATCAACTTCTCCACTCAGAGCCAAGGAGTTCACAATTGATTTGTATGATTTACTACTAGGGACAAATCTTTCTCCTTCATTTCCATACACAACTCCCTGGCGTTATTCGTTCTTCCTTGTGCACACAATCCATGGATCAAGTAATCATATGAAAAGGAATTAGGCAAGCACTTATAGACCACTCCCATCTGATGAAATACTCTGAGGGCATCATTAACATGAAGTGAAAGCACATATCCCTTTATCATAGAATTCAAGGAGAAAATATCAGGTTCAATCCATCGTCGATCATTTGTCTGAAAAGGCATCTAGTTGTCTCCATATACATGTGATTTATGTATGAGTTCTTTCCCCTACTCAATAAAGCTGCAAAAAGGATATTAAATGTGGTAATTGAAGGCCTGCAGTCCAATTTTCCGATATCCCTCATGTGATTATATATGTTCACTGCTCTAGTCAATTTTCGAGCTTCTGTAAAATAATAGATCATTGTATTGTAAAGAGCTTCCGTACCCATAGAACGAATAGCAAGCACTTGATTAACAACATCATCCATCTCTTGGTACATTTTCGCAGCACCAAGTTTCTTTATTGTAATGTGGAAACTTGAAACATTGTGCCTAAACCTATGCTGTTTTGAAGCCCAATTAAACAACTCCAAACAAACTAAAGGGTCCTTCTCTAAAACTATGACATTGCAAAGTTCCTCGGGAGTGAACCTAGGTGGGAGCCCAGAAATAGCCCTCTCAAATTGGGCTTCATCTAGAACAGGTTTTGCGGCAGCTTTTGCCCTCTTACTCATTCTCCTCCTTAAAGATCTTGAAGGGGGTCCCCTCAGGCGTCGAATTGGATATGGACTTGTAGAATAAAAAGAAACCAGAAAAAGTGAGAGGGAAAATGCAACCAGGAGTGTTTGATTTGAAGCAATTGAAATCTGGATGGGAGCTGAATGGCATCTAAAATTCCATATACTGGAAATGGGATGAAAAGAATGAGTAACTATTGAATGATTATAAAAGGATGCTAAACGTGGGGCAATCTTTAAGTAAGAACTATGAACTTCTGAGCCCCTAACAGATAGATTTTGCCACAAAGATACCATCTTGGACCGAATTTTTGTGACGTGATTTCTTGGTACTGAAAGCATAATGAAAATGTGAAATGAACACAGCCCAACTCAAAATGAACAACATATGGATATTAAAAGCTACAGCAGAAGTTCGTGATACGATTCTTGGAAGCAATTAAACTCAAACATATTGAATTTGTGGCAAGGTAAGGTGAAGGGTTCACAGCAAAGCTTCGAAAAAGAGAACAATTGAATCAAAACATGATTCAATAACAATACATAGGCAGGTGGAATTCACGGTTGCATAAATAGATCGACTACGGATTAGGAGGAGCAACCATGAGTAACGATAAGAAAGATCAAACCTCTGAGGAAGCAGATTTTGAACAACAACGGGAATGAAGCTCTCTTCCTCTGAATTGTAGCATACCAGTGTTTAGTTTGACAGTAAGAGAGCAGGAGGCGATGAATTGGACTGCACTTTTGATTGACAAGTTTCAAAATGGGCTTAAATTTAATGTTGAGGTCCATATTTTAATAGTCCAGAGGCCATAACTTCAACTCATCAAGCTTGACGATGTTCATAAGGTTTAAGATATCTAAAATTAACTAGTACATTAGTAAGTTTTTAAATCAGTATTATACCAGGGACTAAAATATTGTTTCCAGGTGAAACGATAATTCATTTGATTACATTCAACAATGCTTAATCACTGAAAATTGTATGTATACTAAGGTAACTTTTTTTAATTTTTTTTAACGGGGAGGGGTGGGGGATTTATAATAAACAGCGTAGGAGAAAGAGATTAAAATTTCCCGAGTCTCAACCTCTTAATGATATCTCATGAGCCTCACCAAGGCAAAGTATCCTTTAAGAGGTAACTTTCTGGTACTACTTGATATTAAAATGTCATCATGGTAAAAGTTGTTGATCTTGATCCTAAAATTTCCTTCCGGTAAAATTTGTATCCCCAAAATTTCTGGAAATTTAGCCCCTTTAGCTAGAGTGGCTATAAAAATAAATAAATAAATTCAGTGCACAAAGAATGGAAGAAATGAAAATAGCAGCCAAATATGTGTATTAATGGTTTTCTGATGCAGTAAGCAGCATCATATTCCATCCTGTTAGCAAACCGCTTAATATTCCCGTCCCACCATCCTACAATGGGTGGGACAACAATGACAAATAACCGATCAAGGAGATCAGTGACATTTTCTTGCTACAACAATGAATAATCAAATCCCTCAGCAGCACTGAGAGTACAGTAGTAACAAGAATGAATAAATCAGTAATTTGAGATGACCGACAAGAACTGCCAAATGAACCACGAAGAAGCTCATCAGCAAATTCATGCTCCTTCAAAGTAAGCATTCCAGTTCGAATCTGAAATCTGATCGAATGCAACCTTGTGAAAAAATTGATATTTCGGCTACTTCTTTAGCTAGGTGGATCAAGTTTGGAGTTTGCTGGACACTGGGAATAAAAACTACAGAAGTTGCATTTCCACCGCTCCTCTTCTGCAGCATAACTGGGTTCTCGTTCCCTCGCCAGAACTCCAGACAAGACTTGAGTTGATTATTGAGCCAATCAGCATCATAAGCAAACTGATCTTCGCCGATCAAAGATTGATCTTCTTGGTATTCATACCTGTAGAAGACAATATTCTTGCTAGTGTAAAATGGACTACCGCAGAGTGCCCTGAGTGATTTGTGGTTTTCCAAATGAAAGTCTTTTAAAAGCGTTAACCCAAAAAGACAAATAAAAAAAGGCAAACTTTTGGATAAGGAACAAGTGAACATCAATTGTACAATGTTGAGGATAAGTGACAAGCTTAATTTCTGCAAGTCCCTCTTCGTTTTTAGTCTCAACTTCTTCTATATACTAGTAGGCACTTGATAAAGGGCAAATGAAATATCTTCTAGGAAAAAGAAAAGCAGTTGTAAACTTTTAGCCTGCCTAAGGTCACTGGGTGGACATGGCCTCAAATCTTTTTTCTTAGCGCTCAGAATACTCATCAATACAGGCAAATGGCAGAAACTAGACGTATGGATTTTATTGTTGTAAAACACTGCTGAAAGTGGAAAATTTTGGGGAAGATGTGGAGGGAAGGAGGTCAGAAAACATGAAAAGGAAATGAAGAGCACAGATCATACGAAACGTCAGTGCTGTCTTCTTTTAAAATTGGTTAAAATTCATCACCAGAAGCCATGCTAGGAGATGGAGAAAAAATTCGGCAGTCCATATAGCGCTTATCTAACAACACACATGGAAATCCTTAACCAACCTTAGTAGCAGTTGGTCCTGAGCTGGAGGCAGCATACAACAAGTATTTCGATAGTATGCCACCAAATCATTCAGAGTCTGCATAAATGCAAAGGATAAGATGTTCAATTAAACACAAAAATAAGCACTCAAAGTGCAAAATGGGTATATTACAGGTAATCCCTTATACTGAGCCACAATGATATGTAAATTGATATTTTACTACAGGACTAGAACACTATCCAATTTATCAACGTCTCACTTCATATACATGCTATATCAGCAGAAGAAATAGAGCAGGAAAGTTCCTCGAAGAGAACATTTCAACATGTGTCACTTCATCATACAGGCTTGCATGGAGAAAAATTCTCGTCTAAATTAGTGAGATCAAGTAGTTAAATGTCCAATGTAATGGACTCCTAAATCAAGTAAGTCAAAGGCGAAGAAAGAAAAGCATCATACATCTGCAGGAAAACCTGATTTGGCTGTGTGCTCTCTGATCTCATCTGAAAGAATGACGTGAGGATTCAAAGCAAAGAAATCAAAAAACTGTCCAGAAGGAAATTTATCAGCCACTAAATTGTCCCACAGACGCTTGTAGCACATCAACTGAAGCCTGTCAAAAGAAATATGCACTTCATCACCATTTTTGTTTGATCTCCAAGAAAAATGTATTGCTTCAATTTCAAGAAGCAATGCTATTAGCTGGTATCTTCCTCAGCAACCTGACCAAAAACCACACTTGATAGTACCTTCCATTTCTCTGTTGTGCTTCAGTAGGAAGCTTTGCTCGTGCACGAGTTTTTGTATCAACTAATGTAGGATATCTTTCAGTTTCTGTAACAGGCATTCGAATTTCATCAATTACTCCCACCATCCATAGACCTTCTTCAAAGCTTACTCTGGTGGCATTACCAGGCCATCAGATCACAAGAAGACCTATTATACTCCAGAATCACCCAATAAATGAAATGCAGTGTCTGGAAGCATGAGCTTTGCACACAACAAGGTGCATGTTTGTGCGAACGTGTTGGTGTGCAAGAAACTGAGAATGCACACAAGAGGAAAGGGGCAGAAGAAATCATAAAATGCATAAAATACACGAGAATCTTACAAAGGCAATTCACGCGTCAGTCCATCAAATAGCAACTGATTTGCCCCAAGTATAAAATTCATAAACTTCACAGCCCATGTGTCTTCAACGGATGCAGCATGGATTTTGACCTTTTTGACAACCTGCAACCATACAATCGAAGGTCAGGCAACAATCTGAATAAATAAAGCCTAAAATGATAATTATCCACGAAAAATATTCTGTTCTCTAATTGATAGTGCTCTATTTCATTCAGCTAAAATCCAAACATAATTAACCAGAATCATAACAAAAAACACATTGATTTCAGGGTTTGGACATATATAAAAAAGGACGATGGTAAGGCTAACTTAGAATAGGAAGGTTAAAAAGTTGAAGCTTGACAGGTCATGGGCATTATCCATATGTAAGGTCCATTAGGAGATCGTAGACTACCTCTTCTTCAAGTGCTGCATGGCGAGCAATACCAGCTTCCATAGCTTTATTTGATTTTGCTCTGCCAAGGTTCAGAGTAAACTCCATTTGTTTCTCACACCATTCCTGAAAGTCCACGCACGATATCAATTTCGATTCTACGAGTAGCAGATTCAATCAGATGTTGCAACAGGACCATCACAAGCACAACATTTCCCCACGATGAATTTTAAAATGTAGTAATTTTTGTGATCTCTAAAATAGCTGTTAGGTCCTAAACTCCTAGGTATATCCCATTTGCCCCTCCTCAGCTGCAAAATTCAACAATCTCCAAATTCGAAATCATTGAAAGCCTTCATTTGAGCTACGTAGTACTACTAAATGCTACTGGACTGACAATGCATTGTTTATTTCTTCTATCTTAAAAATATCAGCCAAAAAAGCCAACTGGAGTTAATCGCTATTCAAACAAATCAGAAATTTTACAAACCTTCTTCTTCGAATCCGAATAGCAAAAAAGCATCGATATTTATAAAAGACGAAGGGAACAAAAATATTAATGAGATATGTACCCCGGCAGTAATATCAGTAACAGATAAGCCTCTTTTCCTCCTAAATTTATGCAAAAGTGAGCCGTGAACTCGATTCTGCTTCTTCTTCTTCTGAGTTAGCCCATCATCACCACCCGAGTCCTCTATATCTGCCACCGAGTCAGACCCAGTTCGGCTACATCTGGAAATCCGCTTTTTTGGACAATAAAGTTATGGACTTTATAGACCGTATATGATCATTAGGCGGAGCTGTAATATTTCTTTGGAACGAGTCAAGGAGGAAATGGTCCGAGTTGCAGAGGCGAAAGCAGCTTCAATGAGGCCATTTCTTCGTCTGGGATGATCTCAATTGGGATGTCAGGGGTTGAACAAGTACGAGTGGTGGTGTCTTGGGTTGAAGGGGAGTCAGTTGGGGACTCGGTCATGATGATGATGAGGTGTTGAGTCGCGACGCGAGTTTTGCGGGCAGTGACCGTTGGAAACGCCACCAACAGGCGAAGAAACGAGTTAATGGGTCTGGACTCTGGACTTGGCCTTTTATTCAAAAAAGAAAGCCACAACTTTCCATACGAATGTATTTTTCCCGACAGCGCGCTTTTCTTATCAGTAAGTTGTTTCTCTAAATATAAAGCATGGGAGATTCTTTTGGTGTTAAATTTTGGGATAATATCAGAAAACCTCCCTTGAGGTTTCTCTTAATATCTTGATACCCCTGAAGTTTTTGAAATATCATTTACCTCCCAAAATTGTAAAAAACTATATTAACCCTCATTTGACACATAATTCACATATCAAATAAATGAAACTCAAAATAAAAAAAAATCACTTATTTCTCTTTCCCTTTTTCCATCATTCTCTCTTACTCATTTTTTAGATGACTATGTAATATTTTATTTATAAATTATAATAAATTAAATTTTTTTATCTTTTTTTGTAATTGTGATAAAGTGGAGTATGATTTATTGCTTATTTTGAGTTGATTTTTATAATGATTGGTATAATTTAATTGTTCTCCTGAATGACGAATTCACAGTTTTAAAATATATTTGACCAAAAAGGTTAAACGAGATGGTCAATATGATCCATTTGGTGTTTTTCCCCCTCCATCAATGTGTGCCTAATATTGACCAAATTGATCAGCCCATGGTGACAAGTTCTTTTATTACTTGTTTCAACTTAGAAAGCTGTAATTATTTCTTTGGATCGAATGGTTTCATTACAAAACTGGAGAGTGTATTTCCCTTGGTACATTACCATAACATTTTCCCCATAGGTGCAACAAGGTACCTTACCTAATTTCCTATTTTTGGTACACAAAAGTGAATAATAATATAATCATGACAGCAACTGAGGACCCTATTCAATCCCACCTGCAATCTCAATGGCCATTTCTCAAGCAAGTATTCATTATGAAACTGTAATACCAATCATTATTTCTCTCTTGAAACTGATAAATCATCGACCTCAATGAACTGCAATTGATTCAGGAATCCCAAGAGGAATTGTAGTATTCAGGAAGGAGACAAGTGACAAATATGAGATATGCCTTCAATGAAGAACTCACGCAGAAAAATTTCAAGGCCTTTGGTTTGGGCCTTTTCTTCAAGTTTTAACTGGTGATAGATAATTAAGCAGTAATAATAGACCAGGGAATGCAGGAGAGGAGTTGGTTTAGAAAGACTTCGTCTCGCATGCAGAACGGATATTTTGGGTGTGCATGCCCCGACGCTAGTACTGTGGCAAACTGGCTGACTCCTGGATATTGCCAGCAAAGCCTTGAAAACCTGCATGAAAGACACCTTTACTCCTCCCTCCCTTCTCACTCGTCAACCCCCTCTACTTAAACCCCCTTTTCACTCCGCATTTCACACAATCACAGATTTCAAAGAGAGTGAGGGGAAAAAAAAAACCAAGGAAAAGAAGAGCAGTAAACAAAGAATTCAGGAAAAGAAAAAACTGAGCATGGGAAAGATTTCTGCAGTGTTTTAGCTTTATTGGTGGTGTGTTTTGCACTGGTGGCCACTGTTGGTGGTTTCTATAACCAAGATGAAGGGGGAGCAGGGATCGGTGGAGGAGGAAAAGGAGGAGAGAGGGAGGAAGGCGGTGGCGAAGGAGGAGAGCCTGGGGTGGGGGGAAACAGCAGGTTCTTGTTGCGGGAGTCACTGGATGTGGTGAGAACTGATGCTGGGCATATGAGGGTGATACGGAATGGCGGTCATAGACTCTGGAGAAGTCCAATGCAAATGGGCTTGATTACTATGGAACCAAACAGTCTTTTCATCCCTCAGTATCTTGATTCCAATCTCATCCTCTTCGTCCGTAGAGGTATTCTTTTGATCTCTCAGTCCCTCTCAACTCTCAGGTGTTTCTTGGTTGTGAACTCGACACGTTAGACTACGTCCTCACTTACTTATATTGAATATCCTTAGAAATATGGAGCTTAGTTTATCGAAAAATTGAAGCATCAAATGAAATTGATATGATGTACTAATTAAGGATTTATGTTCATATGTTTACGGCAAGAGAGAACTAGAGAAGTTTCTAGCTAGTCCATGATTGTGTCTCCTAGTAACTATCAACGTAATGACAAAGTGTCTCATCTTCTTCAGTTGACCAGCTGTGCCATATTGGGATGGAAACCTCTTATTAATTATGTTTATCATCTCTGTAATTGCAAATTGGTTTAGATGATTTATGTTTTATAAACGGATTTGATATTTCAGGGGAAGCAAGAATTGGACACGTCTACAAGGATGATTTTGCAGAAAGGCATTTGAAGACTGGGGATCTGTATACAATTGCATCTGGTTCTGCATTCTACTTGGTTAACGCCGCAGAAGGCCAGAAGCTTTACATAATCTGCAGCATTGAAACGTCCGAGAACTATGGATGGCATTGGCATCAGCATGGCTTCCGGGTTACTACTTCTGTGTTCTGTTTCGATTTTATAGCATGATTATCTGTTAGCCGTGTCTTAATTAATCACACATGATCTGTCTGCAGTCTTTCTTCGTCGGTGGAGGAACAAATCCCACATCTATACTCTCTGGATTCGATCCTTTAACAATGTCGACTGCGTTTAATGTAAGTACAAACCTTAGAAATGTTTCCTAAAACCATCATTGTTGCACCTTTTTTTCAATAAATTTCTTCAACAGGTCTCAGTGGATGAATTGAGAGATTTCACGACAAGGCAACATTTAGGCGCAATCGTGTATTTATCTGATTCTCGTGCACCAAGCATGTGGTCAAAATTCTTGGACCTAAAAGAGCATCAGAGGCTAGCTCACTTGAAGAGAGTCGTGCATGCTGAAGAAGAGGCAAACCAAGACGAAGAGCAGCCAACCTGGTCATTCAGGAAGCTATTGATATCAATCTTCGGGGAGGAAAAGAATAGAGATGATGATGACACGAGAGGCCCAGAGGCTTGCAACATTTACGAAAGAAAAGCCGACTTCAAGAACGATTATGGATGGAGCAAAGCCGTGGACGAAAATGATTACTCTCCTCTTCGCCACTCTGATATGGGTGTCTACCTCGTCAATCTTACCGCGGTAAATTCTTTTCCTTTGCTGCACCCCTTCACACATTTCTTAGACTATATGTATGGCTTAATATTTTGTCAAGACCGTATTATGGTATCAAAGTGCTATTTGTTCGATGAATCTAGGGATCAATGATGGCACCCCACGTTAATCCAAGAGCAGTCGAGTATGGAATAGTTTTGAGAGGAACCGGTAGAATCCAGATTGTCTTTCCGAATGGAAGTTTGGCAATGGATGCACAAGTGAAAGAGGGAGATGCATTTTGGATTCCTAGGTACTTCCCATTCTGCCAAATTGCATCGAGAGCTGGCCCGTTTGAGTTCTTCGGCTTCACCACGTCTTCGCGAGACAACCGGCCCCAGTTCTTGGTAGGAGCAAATTCACTTCTAGATAACATGAGGGGACCTGAACTTGCGGCTGCATTTGGTGTGGATGAGGAAAGGCTCGGAGAAATCCTCGACGCTCAGCGCGAATCCACGATCTTACCTTCTTCACCTGTTACACCATCGGGCGAGGGCGAGCCGACGAAGCCTAGTAGTAGGGAAGAGAGAGCTGTACCAAAAATGATCAGGAGCTTTGGCAGTGACATGATCATGGGTTTTGATTAGAATTTAGAAGGGTTGTTTTTGTCACATTGATGCTGGAATGATGCACGCCATTTCACAGCACACCACTTGGCTTCTGTGTTCGGCTTTTGCCTTGTGTTTTGGTTCGAATTCTGTCTTCAGTTGTTTCTGAAGACTAGGACGTGAATCAATAAATCTGTGACCACTTTTCAGCATTTTCTCTCTCTCTCTTTTTTTTTTTAAAAAAAATTGTTTTGCCTTTGTTCGGCTCTGTGTGAATAAAATCTGAGGCTTTTGGACGAACGGCAATATTACTACTACCTTTTGGATAAGTTTTCTTGTAGTTAATGCTTAACCATCAGTTTTCCAGCTCTGTTTTCTTCGGATTCTGAGAGGAGGTGATACCTTTATTTTGAACCCTTTTCTTTTCTTACGTTCAAAATGATACTAATGATCTATATAAATTGGAGTGTAAAGGGTGATATATATATATATATATATATATATATATATATGTATGTATGTATATATTTATATAAATGTGTGTGGTTCTCTTTTCAAGATTTCTAAAAATTCAACACTGTTAGTTTTGGAAAATAAACTTATATACCGAGTCATTATCTGGTTGATAAAAACAATATACAAATTTAATAATTTATGCAAACGCATCTGATATGGCCTTGCAAAAACCTAATACCTCCTGTTGCTAAAAATAATAATAATAATAATTATTATTATTATAAAAAGGTCCTCAGTTAGAGTCATTGAAGTGAAAATTGGATACTCCTGCATCTTAAACTTAAAAAAAAAAAAAAAAAAAATTCTTCGCCTTAACCCTTATTTAAATGCTGAAATTGAGCCCATAAAATGTCACCGCCCATAATGGTAGAACCTTTTCTATGGTAAAAGAAGTCACTTTTTTTATAGCCAAACTAGTTGCACAACAATGGAAGCACGTTTTACAACTCCGATAGAGTGTTTTATAATGAATAGACTGCTCTGTTTAGATTAACTATTTTTGAATATTTTTTAAAAATTTTACTGTAACAATATTTATGAATAAAATTTTTAAAAATATTAAAAATATTATATGAATAAGATATTTTTTAAATTATTTTTATTTATATATTACTGTAACATTGTATTACTTTTGAACTGCCTGGAATTATAGTAATAATTCCAAAGCACCTCAAACCACAAACATCCAAAAGCAGAAATCACAAAGAATTAGTTCTGTAGCATCTGCCACCGTCTGTCAAGCACCCAATTCTGACAGAGGCTAGCCAGTATACAGGGCAGAAAACTACGACACAACAAATAAAACATAGACAAAACTACTGAAGCAGCACTTGAAAAGTTTGCATGACACGATTTATTGTGGTAGTAGATTTCATTTGACGGCGGGCCAGCATGAACCTGCACGGTTCATTTGGCACCCTTCTTAGCAGCAGCCTTGGTGACTTTGGCACCAGTAGGATCCTTCTTGTCAACAGCCTTGATAACACCAACAGCAACAGTTTGGCGCATGTCCCTAACAGCAAAACGACCAAGGGGAGGGTACTCTGAGAAAGTTTCAACAACCATGGGCTTGGAGGGAATCATCTTGACCAAACCCGCATCACCATTCTTCAAGAACTTGGGCTCCTTCTCAAGCTCCTTGCCAGATCGCCTGTCAATCTTGGTCAAGATCTCAGAGAACTTGACAGCAATGTGAGAAGTGTGGCAATCAAGGACGGGGGCATATCCATTGCCAATTTGGCCTGGGTGGTTCATGATGATGACCTGGGAGGTAAAGCTGGAAGCTCCCTTGGCTGGGTCATCCTTGGAGTTGGAAGCAACAAAACCACGCTTGAGATCCTTCACAGCAACGTTCTTCACATTGAAACCAACATTGTCACCAGGAAGTGCCTCTTGAAGAGCTTCATGGTGCATCTCAACAGACTTAACTTCAGTTGTCAGACCAGTTGGACCAAAGGTCACAACCATACCAGGCTTGAGAACACCTGTTTCAACACGTCCCACAGGGACGGTTCCAATGCCACCAATCTTGTACACATCCTGAAGTGGGAGACGGAGTGGCTTGTCTGAAGGCCTCTTGGGCTCCTGGACCTGGTCAAGAGCCTCAAGGAGGGTTGGGCCCTTGTACCAGTCAAGATTGGTAGACCTCTCAATCATGTTGTCTCCCTCAAATCCAGAGATAGGGACAAAGTTTATTTTGTCAGGATTGTATCCGACCTTCTTCAAGTAGGAAGACACTTCCTTCACAATTTCATCATAACGTGCCTTGGAGTACTTGGGAGTGGTGGCATCCATCTAGGCAACAAAAAAGATTGAAGAGAAGTTAGAGATAAACAACAGGCCTGCAGTATTTGTGTTTAATATTACACCCCCAGGAGCTCACCTTGTTGCAGCAGCAAATCATTTGCCTCACACCAAGGGTGAAAGCAAGCAACGCGTGCTCACGGGTCTGACCGTCCTTAGAAATACCAGCTTCAAAACCACCAGTGGTGGAGTCAATGATAAGGACAGCACAATCAGCCTGAGAAGTACCAGTAATCATGTTCTTGATAAAGTCACGATGTCCAGGAGCATCAATGACAGTGCAGTAGTACTTTGTGGTCTCAAACTTCCACAAGGCAATATCAATGGTGATACCACGTTCACGCTCAGCCTTGAGCTTGTCAAGCACCCAAGCATACTTGAATGACCTCTTGTTCATTTCAGCAGCTTCTTTCTCAAACCTCTCAATCACACGCTTGTCAATTCCTCCAAGCTTGTAGATCAAGTGACCAGTAGTAGTCGACTTTCCAGAGTCGACGTGACCAATGACCACAATGTTGATATGAACCTTTTCCTTACCCATTCTGAAGTGCTAGAAAACTGAAAACTAAACACAGTAAATACTTTTATCAGCTAACATTCAAAATCCAAAAGAATTTAACTGAAAACATAACAGAGTACATATACATTAGATGGAACTTTAATCATGAAAATCTCCCTCAAACCATTATAGCAAGCATGTCGCACTATAAATTTCTAAAACATGTAAAGTTCTAGATCCAAATAAAAACTCCTATGTAACTGATCGCAAACAATTTACTGCATACAAGCATGACAGATCAAAAAGCAACCAATATCTCAAAACATAAACATGACTCGAAAAATAAAACGACAAACAGAAAGCAACCAAAAACTGATCCACTTCCCAAACGAATAAATCAGGTCGGATAGATATATCAATCTTCTCACCATCTGAGTGATTGACCAACAAGAGCGCATACACCAGACAATTGACGCCCGTAAACAAAAAATTAACTCCACGTTAATGAATCACAAAACGACAGATTCACACAATTCATCAAAGAAAATAAACCCATAGAGCATTGAATTTTCACATGCGTTGATTTTAATCATAGAACAGTAATCAATAGCTCGACCAATCAACATCCGTAGGATCAAGAAAAAATCGGCTGTATTAAAGGTTATAAAAAAAGGGAAAAACCAGGAAAACTAAGGCAAAAAAAAAAATCTACAAAATAGTCATAAACTAAAAGAATTAACATGCATCGATTCCTAAATTCATTTAGGAAGAATTCTAGCATTTGTGAACATCTACTGAGAGCACAAAAGCTCATAGACATGCATAATCAACAAAATTACGGCAAAAAAATGCTGAAATAAACGAGATATGAGCACAGACCTAGCCTTGTCGAAGACAGCAGGCGAGAGAGAGCTGCCCTTTTCTTTTGAACCGTTCAAATGATGATCTATATAAATTGGAGTGTAAAAGAGTGATATATATATATATATATATCCTTATCCTTACAATATATAGGAGGCACTTCTTCTTTAGTGTGCAAAGCTGCTTTCATCTGCTCTTCCAGGGACTTTGGCGTCATTTTCTACTCTATATGTGCCACTCATTTTTGTTGTCTTATAAATGTGTAAGAACCACAGATTTTTTCAGTTGATATTAACATTTCTATCGTTTGTACATTCATTGTTCCTTTGTATGCCCTCAACAGATTCTTTTTTTATGGTTCTTTGACTCTTATCAAGTATATATATGAAGTTGACGTTTGACCAAAAAAAAAAGGACTTTTATCAAGTGGCCTTTTTAGTCAATTAGTTTGACAAGATTGCTCTGTTAGATCAACAAACACTAGCTAATTAATTGCAGCCTCCAATTTACCATTTCCTCCTCAAAGATGCCTTTCTTATGGATTATGAGATTTTAGATTGAGGTTACCTTTCTGTATCCACTTGCATGTATCTGCTGATTCCAGTGCCATATTCAGCAGGGTTATATGCGTGTATTGACCTCAATATGAAGACACGTACCGATGTGCTGTTCTTCATGAATTAGCTTTGTCCTGCTTTCTTTCACCTCGGATTCGTTTGCTTCATTTGCATTTTCGGTGCTGGTACTCATCTTTTTCCTTTTTCTCTTTGTTATAGACATGTTAAGATTTTACTTTTGCTTCACTCTCTTTTACATTATTTCGTTATATTTGTTCAATGAATAGCTACTAATCAGTTGTTTACCTCTTGGTTTCCATGCTTTGCTGCTGCGTGCTTCTGTTCACTGTGCATTTATGGTTTGCATGCATGTGTTTTTGACGTTATTTTCTTCTTCTGCAGCAACTGCTTAATACTTTCGGAGATCTTTTGTTCGGTAATATTTTCTCTGCTATATTTACTTACTTTCACTGCAATTTCCTGCACCTGCATGGTTGCATCAAGTTTCATTCGTATTCCTGTCCATGTTTTCCCAATGATTATCAACTAAACTTCTGCTTGTCTCAATTTGCTTATGATGTTTATGGGGAAAATGGCCAATTTAGTCCCTATACTTTTATACTTGTGTCGATCTAGTCCCTTATTTTATTTTTGGCCAATTGGATACCTCAACTTAAAATGCAAAGTCCAATTGAGACCCTTTGCGGCGGCGCCACCACAAAATATCAGAATGGGCGGGAAATTGACCACATAATGAGGGCTACTTTTGGAACTTCACTTATGGGCTCTAAAACGGTAACAAAATGAGGAGCTTAAGTGCGGAGCTTTAGACTCTGAAATCAAAGTGAGGAGCTTAATTGAATTGGAGAGCTAGAGTTCATCCAAGAGACGGGTAGTCTGTGTAAATTCTCAGATTGTGTATAGAATCATTGCAAATGCAGGTAAGGAGAAATTGGGCCAAAGCAGCATCAAGTTCAGGTAGCGTTTCAAGTAATAATGGCGCAAATCGATTTGAAACAGCAACGGAGATTTATCAAGGAAAGAATGAATACTACAATGGAGACCTAGTTGTGCGCTGCCATTGCCTTGAAGAGTGTCAGTAGTTACTTCGTGGACAGAAGCAAATCCTTCGAGAAGATTTCACGGCTGCAAAAACTATGGGGTACTATTTCTTGGTTCTTGGTAAATATATTTCAAATCGAAAATTTAATGAATTTTGGTGAAGTAAACTATGAATTAATTGTGAATGCAGAAATCTGGAGCTTGTAATTTCTTTCTATGGTACGATCCACCATACCTCAGAAGATGAAGAATGTAATTGCTTCATTATTGAGGGACCTCAGACGTGTGGAAGCAGAAAATGCAACATTGAAACTTGAGATCCGAAAATTGAGAAAAAAGTGAAACTAATGATATTGGCATGTGTTTGTTTATGTTGCTACGTTTTAATTACTACTGCTTGCTGGCAATGGAAGACAAAAGCAAGGTGTGTTGGAGTTGAAGATGTTGAACTAGTTTTGGAAATGTTGTAGATCCTTCAAATACATGGCTGCTAATTTCTCCTGAATTTGTATGTTTATGAACTATGTTATGAACTTTTGAGGAGAAATGTGATTCATTGTAAACTTGAATCTGAATGATAGATCCTTCAAGTGCACTAGTTTTTTGTTTTGAATTGTTTGGGAATTGGTTTGGTCACTGGAAACTTGTGGAAGCAAAAAAAAAAGGACAAAATTGAAGCCTGTTTATGGACATTTCCACCTGGAACCAATTCAACGAAATATCTAACAATTCAGCCAATAAAGTTGTTATAGTAAAGGACAGAATTTTGCATGTAATTTGAACATTCCATTGGGCACCAATTCAACAAAATAGCTTACAAAGTCAAAATTACACAATCAAGCTATCTGCTAATGCCAAAAGTGCCTCAAAAATAACTACAACAGCCAACGTTTATAGAACAAGCTGTCTGCTAATACCATAAAATCCAAAAGTAACTACAACACCAACGTTTGAGCAACTTGGTTCAATGAAGCCAACACATTTTAACCCTTCCACTACAAGAAGTCTCAAAAATAGTCAAAACTAACTAAATGAACAAAAATTAACTGCCATCAACATGTTTCAGCAACATATGACTATCTTCAACTGTCTTCATTATTGTCCATGAAGTTATCCAATTCATCCAACAACCTATGCGCCTGCAAAATACATTTGAAATGAGAACCAGCAAAGCGTAATGGCTAATAGTTCGAAATTCGACCGAGTTTTTAATGCCAAAAAACATACAGTTTGTTTTCTTCTTTTGCCTTTTCCTGGAGATACAGCAGCAGTTATCCTAGATCTCCAAAGTTGGGCTCGCGCACAGGTGCAAGTTTTTTTGGTTTGGCCTGGAGCATGACAAAAAGACAGCAGGCAGTACGACGAACTCTTTTTGAACTTAACTCTGGAGCTGAGGACTGCACATGAATTGTTTCAGCCACCTCACCAGCTTGGATATTGACTATTGAGCATGAAACATACATGTAGTAAGCATGCCATTTAAACACAGGAAGTTTAAAGAAATATGCAAGCTTTAATGATTAAAAAAAATATACCTGAATTGGACTCTGTGGCTGCCATATTTTTGAAAGGTTCACTGTCAACTTCAGTGATTGTTGTAGACGCAGACACGTGTGTTTCTTGTGTTGCTTGGGTATTAGATGTCCCTGAGACAATCAATGGACAAGTCCTGACATTGTGTCCAAGTCCTTTGCATTTTCTGCACTTGTTGGAGTTCAAAGGAGGTTGCGTTCCACTACCTTCAAGAAGAACCGCATCACTGCATGGTTCAATGGACATCTTCTTATATTATGCCCTTTTTTTGACATTTGGTACAAGTAATCTGTGCATGTCCCTTTCTAGAGAGTCTTGTACAGCCTTTGGAATCAGACGTTGCTCATTTGGTTCCCTTCTCCTTGTCTTTTTGGGCCTCCCAGGAAGTTTCAACTTTTTTGGTGCATTAATAGGGTCCTTCTTTGATTTGATCCAGTTGTTGGGTCCATTAATCGGTCCAATAGCTGGCTCATAGGCTTTCAAATAAGCATCTCTTGAATAACAAGGATCCACAAGATGCTCTGGCTCATTTTGCTGCAGTCCAACACAGCACACAACATGCGAACATGGAATACCGGTAAGTTCCCACCGCCTACATGTGCATGTCCTTCTCTTCATATCAACTACAAAAGTGCCTCCGTACATGTGTGTTACCTCAAATCTGTCATCATCAGCCCACCTTGCAATGTTTGACTTGGCATCATCCTTAGCTTTTTCCAATTTTTTTAGAATTTTGGGACAGATTTCTCATTCATTTTTCTCATCCATTCCCTCTTTGTCCGAAGCCGCTCCATAAGATATATTCTAATATTTTCAAGCATGCCAAGAATAGGTTTTTCCCTTGCATCTAAAATCACTGAATTAAAGCTTTCACAAAGGTTGTTAGAAGAATGTCACATTTAACTGCAGTCCGAAAATGTGACCTTGACCAATGTCGGGGCGATGTATTATCCATTAACCACTTGTGTGCACTCTCATCATATTATTTCAAGGTGTCCATCTCGGCCTTGAATCTGTTTACATATGTTGCCCTTGCACAACCCCAAAACATGCCCTTTAATGTCTCGTCAGGATGTCGTTTCTTGAAGTTGTTGTGTAGATATCTCACACAGTGCTTATGTTCCACATTTGGAAGAATATCATGCATGGCTGATCCCAATCCCTGCCATCAATAAATGCCAAAAATTAAGCAATCATGAACTAAAGTAATATGGTATTTAAAAATCAGCCATGGTCGTATGCATTACCTTTTGTCGATCACTTATAAATGTCCATTTGCTTTGCTCATGGATGCTGAGATTAAATTTCAAAAAATCGATGAACCACATCCAAATTTTTTTTCTACCTCAACAACTGCGTATGCAATAGGATAGATGCAATCATTTGCATCTATCCCTACAGCTGTTAGTAGAACTCCCGGTGTGGACCACGTAGATGGCAGCCATCTACACCAACAACAGCTCTACAGCCGGCTTTGAAACCTTTCTTCAATGCTGCGAAGCAAATGTATAACCTCTGGAATCGCTCTTTTCCACTAAGCTCATCAATCTCTGTCTCCATATGAATAGTTGATCCTGGATTTGATCGCAGTAGTTCATCACAATAGTCCCACATCCTTTTGTACTGTTTCTTGTAGTTCCCTTGGATCAACACCTTTGCCTTTGCGAATGTCTTGTAAACCTGATCTTTGGTAATATGCACATTCAATTCTCGATGGACTTTTTCCTTAAACTCTCCAACTGAAATCTTCCTATTCAACCGCAAGAACTCTTTGTAATGTACACTTAGAAACCCAGAATTGGCCAGCTTATGGTAGAATGTCCTTTCGCATTGATGTTGTGGCCCCATAGTCCGTATGACAAAGGCATCACTATCTGGTTCCTTGGTCGCATGGAGGAACCATTTGCACTTGACATTCTTGCATTTTGCTCTTATTCTATTGGCATCATTCTTTTTCCAACCATGGTCTTTGCCCCACAACACCCAATAATAATCAACTGCAGCTTTGAGTTCCTTCTTTGTATCAAACAGTAACCCAACAAAAAATCTTGGATCTTTCATGTCAATTTCTGGTCTAAACCGAACATACCTTGGCTTCTTTGGTCCACTTTCTTCATCCGAGGACCCATAATAGCTGTTTAACTCTTCTGTGTTCATTGAGTCTGATTCTTCTTGGACAGGAATCTGCTCTCCATCATAAATGTTCAAATCAGCAGCAGCATAAGCTTCTCTCACTGTGCATGTTCTTGTTTAGGTGTGTATGCTTTTTTTCTGTTCTCTTTAGCACCTGTCTCTGAACATTTTCCCTGCATACCAACCTCAAGATTGCCAATCTGATTTTCAAATAACTTATCAATCTTGGATGTACAATTCTTGTATATTATATCATCCTCATCTTTGCTACAATCATAATCACTGTCATGAAAATCATCACAACTATCATCACTGTCATCAGCCTTATCACCATCTTCTACAGTTTTACTAACTCTTCTTTGGCTTTTTTTCCCTTTACCCCCATCAACTTCTTCTGGTGTTGCATGAACTGGAAGTTCATTACTCTCAAAGAAGTTATCAAATGTCATATCTACATGGAACAAGTCTTCATCTAAAAAATTAACAAGGTCTTCATTTTCTTGAGTTGAGCAGCCCTTACTAGCATCATTTTCATCTACTTTTGTCAACAAGTCTTTATTTTCAGCAGTTGAGCAGTCCTTGCCAACATTCAAAAGTCTGATATGAAACTCACGAACTACATAAAGTTCAGCTTTACCGCTACGTTTACCTATACAAGTCATCTCCCACACATCCTCCTCAACATGTATTTCTCTAAGTCTTAACTTGCTATCTACTGAAGGGATTCTATACATGTATCTACAATCATCAGTACACCCAAGATACTCACAATAAGCCTTCATAGTTTTCAGGTTCATTCTTGTGGCAATAATCCCTTCAAAAAGCTCCATGCTACCCCCTACATATTTTTTTCTGTTTCTTCAACATAAATCCCGCCATAGTAAATGGCCAGGTCAAACACATCCAGCTGTTCACAGACTTGTGTTTGCAACAGACGACAAAGAAAAAATATATGTTAAACCCTTGTCGACACATGCTCTTGTCTGCCCTTTGAGCAACATGAAAGCAACTTCTCAAGAATAAAGCCTTAGGGACCACATGAACGATTTTTTTTTTTTAAGAAAAAACAAAAAACTGAAGCCACTTTACCCCATTCAAGAAATGCAATGCAGTATAATAAACGGAATTGGAACCAGATAAACCAAGCCCACCAACCCCACATACCATTAAATTAGTTAACAAATAAACCAACCCCACATCAAATGAATCATCTTTTTTCAAAAAGAAATTTTGAACAAAATTAAACCTTTTCTGGTTTCCCATCAGATGACCCATTTCAGAAATGCTGCGTAATAAACACAACAACAAGCATACCAACCCACATTTCATATCATTAAACAAGTTAACAAAGGAATAAAATCGATTCCTAAACATTTGAACTTACTATTTCTGCTTGATTGTCCTTCATCGAAATCGCCTTTCATGCTCGATTCGCACTCCATTTTGTCTATTGTTGCAATCCCATCGGCCTCCTCTTTCTTGTCCATCATCAATCACTGCAATTTTGCCTAAAGAACTTTGCCCAAATAACCCTAATTGTTTTCTACATACGTCACTTTTAATAAGTGATGGTCGGACTCGGACTCTAATTTTGTTACCGTTTTAGAGCCCATAAGTGAAGTTCCAAAAGTAGCCCTCATTATGTGGTCAATTTCCCGCCCATCTGATATTTTGTGGTGGCGCCGCCGCAAAGGGTCTCAATTGGACTTGCATTTTAAGTTGAGGTATCCAATTGGCCAAGAATAAAATAAGGGGACTAGATCGACACAAGTATAAAAGTATAGGGACTAAATTGGCCATTTTCCCGATGTTTATGTGTTTACAGCTTTCATTTTTTATTTATCATCTGCCCAGTTTTAGCCAGTAATATTAAAGTGGTTGTGGTGTTTGGGAATTTTACTTATAAAGCAAGCGTATTTAGCTAGACCACAGGCTGAGTAGTCATAGCAATAGTCATAAGTTAGCTACGCAAAAAGCTATTCGTAATCAGAAGTGAAGGGAGAAATATGCTATGTTATCACCTGTGGAGAAAGAACTGTGTCGTCTCAAGCAGATAGAGGCCTATCGAAGGAGGAAAGCCAAAAAAATCTGGCTAATTCATGTCATGAAAAAGAAACCGATACCAGAGGTGTCATTTTGCTCTGCCCCTACGTGCAAATTACTCCTGACAGAGGTGCAGATGCTATTTACTGTACTCACTTATTCGAATTTAGTATTAATCTCAATTTTTATCTGTATGAATGGTGATTATTCAATGCCATTATTGTTTTTCCCTTAGAAATAGTGGATAACGAACCTAGCAAATGCTGTGAAGAATCCATTAATGCTCAGAATATATCAGCAAGCACCAATGTTGATGACCAATTGCAGGGTGAGATGCCTTTATGTACTCACAAGTGTACTATTAAGTGGAATAAAAGTAGATTTTAATGTGATTGCATTGCTACTTCATTTTTGCCATTGTCTCAGAATTTTCTCTCTCTTTAGATACACAACAACTTCCTCGTTACCAATCTTCCGAAGAAACTATTATGCAGCAACAATTGCAGTCTGATAAAGTATTACACACAAATGCACTCCAGTTTGCAGCAAATGAAGGTTAATTTATTCAATTATTTACTCATTTTCATCCTGCATTTTATACCTTTTATGGCCAGTTTACAGCTGTACTTAGCCATTCTATAATAATCTCATAATTGATTATATACTTGTGAATTTGTAGTTACTGCAACCGCTGCTCAGCAGCCTAAACTATAGTATGTGTCCACCAATCCTTACAGTCCAATACACACCAAAATGCAGGTTCGTTTGCACAAGTACACAACACTTTTTCTATTTTGTAATCATTATTATTTACTAATTACTCTTATATAGCAGGTCAATCTCCAATTTGCACCAACTGTTATAACTATATTTCTGATGTTTGTACAAAATACACCAGGTTTGCCATGAAAACATGTTCAATTGTCGGATAACAGATGGGTGGTACCATATAATCCATACCCATTAGCAAAGTTCAATTGTCATATCAATGTTGAGATCTATTATACCATCAAAGTTGTCAAATACATGTTCAAATATATTTTCAAAGGACACAACAAAATCCATTTTCGAGTCAACTCAAAATTTCAGAGCAATACGTGGATGAAATTAAAGAATATCATACAGCAAGGTGGGTTTCTGGTATTGAAGCAATGTGGCGAATATATATATTTTCTCTCACAGAAATGCATCCTTCAGTTATGAACTTACAGTTACACTTAAAGAATTATCAATCCATGACTTTCAAGAACAATGAAGATATCAGAGATGTTCTGGAAAATCAATTCAAGAAAAGGACCATGTTAACACAGTTTTTCTATATAAATGCAACGGATGACTTAGCAAAAACCTTAAAATGCACATATAAAGAGTTTCCTGAACATTTCGTTTAGCATCCAGCTAAAAGGTACTGGTCAGCAAAGAAACAAAAGATTGTATTGGGAGAATTGTTGCAGCTAATCCAAATGAAGAAGAGCGTTATTTTCTACGCCTGCAGCTAACAAATGTTAAGGGACCAACTTCATTTGATGATCTGAAAATGATAAATGGTAAATATACAACTAGCTTTTCAGGAAGCAATAATGCTCAGAGGATATTTTGAATCAAACAATGCATAAGAACAATGCCTCGAAGAAGTAGCTTTGTATCATATGCCACACAATTTCAGGAGATTTTTGCCACATTATTAGTACACTTTCCGCCAGCAAATCCTAGACAGCTTTGGAAAAAATTTGAGGCATTCTTATCTGAAGATTTTTATCATCGATCCGATAGACATTTTGATCAGATACGATTCAAAGTTCTTTGCAAAATAAGTAAGTTTTTACAATCAATGAGCAAGGATATCAATAGCTATGACTTAGTTCCCCGAATTCTGAGGTTTAATGAAGCAGTTAGAGAAACCAGGGGCACTATAAGTGAGACTGAGTTTATAGTGTCAGATGAAGATGTTGTATCCATTAATCGACTAAATATGAAGCAGAAACTTGCAATCGACATTATTACAGCTTATGTATACAATAATTTGAAAGGATCTTTCTTCTTAGATGAACCAGGAGGGATGGGCAAAAGGTTTTTATATAAAGCTTTATTGGCTGATATCAGATCAAAAGGTTTCATAGCACTAGCTACAACATCCAGTGGAGTTGCAGCATCTATTCTTCCTGGAGGACGAACTGCCCATTCACGCTTCAAAATACCGATCAATATGGACATAAGCAATATGTGTACAGTTAGCAAACAGAGTGTATTAACAAGATTACTTCAACAGGCAAAGCTAATAATATGGGACGAAACTCCAATGAAGCACAGAATAGGAATCAAAGAAGTAGACAAACTACTGAGAGAGTTGATGGACACCGATGATCTTTTTGGAGGCAAAGTCATAGTTTTTAGGGGTGATTTTCGTCAAGTACTTTCAATTGTAACAAAAGGATCGAAGCCTGATTTTATACAGTACTCAACAAAAGGATAAAGAAAGGACAGCTCTAGAACAAGAAGGAGAAGCTAATTACGTTGAAAAGGAACAAGACACTGAAACAACCTCAGTCACACCAAGCAACCAAGCACAGGCATCCATAAAAGCTGGAGTGGATGACTGCTTGCCAACTTCACTGAAGCTAAACTGAAAGTCCACCAAAGAAGCAACGCACTGCAAAATTAAGTGATGAAGACTAATCTCAATAAGCTTCTCACAAGAATTTCTGCTTTTGCCATAAATGGAATGCATGTGTAGTATGGACTCCATCTACACCTCTAATGTATGCATAATAACTTTTGTAAAAGACAACTAAGAAAATCACTTTATGTACTTATCTAACTCTTTTGATGGTAGATAAACTACCAACCGATCTAAACTGAAATTGGTTGGAGTAGGATCTACCAAAGACCGACCCTTTATAATAGCTATTTAAAGTGTTCTACTTACCATTAAAATCCCTGCTCATGCTACTTAGCTTCAAACTCCATAGCACTGCGAATTGCCTCTTCCTCCTCCCGTGCTTCATCACGCATCCGTTCAGCAAACAACCTTAGAAATGACAGATTCCCATGAACACTTAAGGCATGTTCAAGAATCCGTGTCCACTCAGAAACCTATAGAAACCCTTGAAAAGCTCATATATTTCATTCCTTACCGCTACAACATTAGCTGCTTCACGAATCCTACGATCGATAAAAGCATTCTCCAGACTTTCATTGTTAAAAACACGTCCCCCATCAAGTGCCATCTGATTCACCAAATCTGGATAATGATCCTGCACAATAGGCAAGCGAACACGATTATGCTCCATTTCCACAAAACACCAAACGAACACAAAACTTACCACACAAGTAGAAGCAAACTAACTCTCTGCTAACAAGCTTAAACTTATAAAAAAAACTTTCAACTCTTACAAACACATTATGTCTGACCACTCTAATTTATAAAAAACTCTACTCAATTAAAAACAAGAGTACTATACACATGTGAACAAAGAATCCAAGATTATAAAAATAAAAAAAAAAAAAGACAAACAACCATTGACAATACACCTTTAGCAAAAAAGATATAGCAAGAAAAATTTGCAGCTTCACAAATATCTATACAAAAATTGATAACACACAATAATGATAACTACATCCTCAGACAAATTCATTCCCTTGACCATTTATTACTGGCTAGCATAATATTTTAAGCTAACATTTTAAGCTTTCTCCTCATTTCACAATAGCTACCCCGTTTCTTCTTTTATCTTACAAATGCTCATTAGGCCACCATATCATTAATAACTTCATAAAATGAAATAACTACTTTAATTATTTACAGTTCTAAACTGCAATACGTATTTATTCCTATATTTTACAATTAACAACATAAGTAAATAAACATAAATACATACATATATATACATATATATATTATATATATATATATATATATTTTAACTTTACATTCCAATGTATCACTTTTTGCTTAGTTCATTGAGTCCATGAGTCCATTTTCACAACTTACTTCATTCCCTCACAAGTTCAAACAATAATTATCATACCAATTTCAAACCATTATTTTATAAAACTCTTGTGTAAAATTTAATAATATCATTTAAAAGTTTTCACCATACTACCTTTTCGATTTTCACCCAATTCTTTCAAATATTTACTTTTACCATTCAATTCATGATCAAATTTTTTATAATAAGTCCAACAAAACAAAACAACCCCAGGCACTCCGCGCGCCTTGCCCGGACAAGACAGATTTCTGTCATTCCTGAAAACTCAACACTATTAGTTTTGGAAAATAGACCTATATACCGAGTCATTATCTGGTTGATAAAAACAATATCCAAATTTAATAATTTATGTAAACGTCTATGATACGGCCTTGCAAAACCTAATACCTCCTATTGCTAAAATAATAATAATTATTATTATTATAAAAAGGTCCTCAGTTAGAGTCATTGAAGTGAAAATTGCATAATCCTGCGTCTTAAACTTAAAAAAAAATTCTTCTCCTTAACCCTTATTTAAATGCTGAAAGTGAGCCTATAAAATGTTAGCGTCGTAATGGTAGAACCTTTTCTATGGTAAAAGAAGTGCCTTTTTTACAGCCAAACTAGTTGCACAACAATGGAAGCACGTTTTACAACTCTGACAGAGTTTTTTACAATGAATAGACGACTGATCATGTGAATTAGCATTTTTTGGTATTTTTCAAAAATTTTACTGTAGCAATGTATATGAAAAATTTTTATAAAAATTTTTATAAAATATTTGATATATTGTATGGATGAGATATTTTTAAGTTATTTTTATTTATGTATTACTATACATTATATTTGAAAAACTTGTTTTTAAAAAATAGCCAATTCTAGTCCTAGTAAATTAATCAATAGAGAGAAAAAAAAGGAATCCAATTATTTGAATTATCTGTAAAATGTCATTAACTAATTTCTTATGGGTTTAATTGGACATTTAAATTGACATTCAACACTGTTGATATACAAGGAGCTGATTGTTTTTAATACTGGTAGTGTTTTAACTTTTCACAGATCATTTAAAAAAAAAAAAATTTTTGTCCATTGGTACTTCATAAAAAAAAATCCCAAAAAAATTGTAATGGTACCGCCTGCTCTATCTCTCCGAAGGCGTATAAGAACTTGTTCTTTGTCTCAGGAAAATAAAAATAAAAATAATAGGAACTGTGATTCATCATCCTCTTCTCACCATAGCCTGGCTGCTGCGAGCGTCACCAAAGACTTCGATTCGAAGATTCCGATAACCGAAAAAAAAAAAAGAAGCAGCCTCCTCAGATTCTGGAAGTTGCATTTCATTTTAACAATTTGGCCCTGGTGGGCGAGGCGGCGACCATGTCAAAAGTTGTTCATCTTCTCTTGTTAATGTTCGCTTCTTTTTTCCTGTTAAATCCGATAATCAACAGTAAAGCCGAGGTTATAACCCTAACAGCTGATACCTTCAATGACAAGGTAACACCTTGACTTTTCTAGCTCTTATGTATTTCGGCAAGCTCACTTGATTTGTTTACTCTTTAATTGAAGATCTCAGATCAATTATAAAGTTCTAGTCTTTGATACGTAGATGAGATGCAATTTTTGGTATTCTTTTCTAACAACTTCCGGGTTCTTGAGCAGCTGAATTGGCATCCGGTGTATGTTTGTAATTCTAATCCAGTATATAGTAGTATTGAATGCAGAAAACGAATCATGGTCAATTTTAAAACGTTTGTGGGTATGTTTTCCTTCGGGGTTTTGTTCAATTGTACGTCTAACAACAATGGGCGATGGTTAAGCGGAACTCATGAGCTGTTAATATCTGCAAGTCTGAAATTTTTTATACGTATGAGTTTGTGAAATTTATGGCTTATTAGTCTCCTATGATAATCCGGTAATTTCTCGGTTTGACCTAGAACCAACTCAGATTTCATAAGCCTCAGAGATTGAAATGCAGGAAAATGAGCAGTAGAGATTTCCTTTCCGTTGGATCCTTTCTTCTCTCTTTTGGCCTTTCTCTTGGTTTCTTAAACTCTGTGGCTAAATGGGCATGTAATTCTAGCTTAATTTCATGCTTAGTTGATTCTTTTCCTGGGATACCATACTCTTGTTATTCTCATCAGTTGAATGGATACTGCTTGGCATGGAAGTTGAAATTTTCTGCTTTCAGGAGTTATCCAATTAGTTATCGCTGTACTACTTTTTGCCTACTAAATGTTCTTGTTTGGCAGCTGGTTACATGTTTTAGCCCCGTATATGCATGTCTCTTAAGTTTGTTCCATTCAGGTGAACGAGAAAGACACTGCTTGGTTTGTGCAATTTTGTGTTCCTTGGTGTAAGCACTGGTAAAGTTCTTTTGAATCTGCTACATTCTTTAGTTTGTGATCAATGCATTCTGCCAATGAGTTCATTTGACAGTAACTATTGAATTCTTTTGTAGTAAAAACCTCGGGACGCTGTGGGAGGATCTGGGGAAAGCAATGGAAGGAGAAGACGAGATAGAGATTGGACAAGTTGACTGTGGTACGAACAAAGAGATATGCAATAAAGTTGACATTCATTCATATCCCACATTCAAGCTCTTCTACAATGGAGAGGAAGCTGCAAAATATAAAGGTACAAACTTCTCTACACAAGATAACTTTCTTTCTACATACTAATCAACGAGCTTCTGTGCATGCTTTCGTGTAAATCTTTGACTTCAAGCACACAAACCTTTCATAATTGTGTTTTCTTTTCGTTTTTAAGCCTTCTCTGGCTGATAATTTTGTATATTGATGAATAAGCTTGGCAATACCTAAAACTTCTACCAAGACAAAAGTCTTTAAAAGTAGGTTTGAGCCTCTCCATTATATTACAGTGCTTGAACTATGAATAATGTTTTACTAAAGGGAGAAGCCTAAAGTAACACAGTGAAGCTAAAATGAAAAAATGGTTGCCTTCCAAGTTTTCCTCTTTTAATGGAAAACTTGCTTTTTTCCCCCCTTTAGAAGATGCAATCATGCCGTATTAGCCAGGTAGCAGCATAACCTACAGGAACTTCAGGACTCTGGTGGGAGTTAGAGCCAAGATTAGGAAGAGAGCAATTTTGATCTAGGTGTTGGGCTATTCTTGAATTTCACAAGTCTAGGCAAACCAAAATACCTCCTTTGCAGACACGGACTTTTTGAGTTTCTATTGTGGTAGATTTGGATGTTGGCCCTGTTGATATGGTGAACAAGGACAGAAGACTGTATATTGAGATCTGGAAATACAGAGAGGAGATTATAGGCTATTTACTATTCTTTTGTGGAGCTAAAACTTCTTAGCCATGCTTAGAAAACATTCAAATTATCACATTAAACACCAAAGCTACCTTCCTTCAGATCATGAGATGTCCAAAAGGCTCATCCACCCTTTTTCACATAATTAGAAGCTTATATGTTAATTGCAAATCTTTGTAAGCTGTTTGATGGTCGATAGTATCCTTGAATTGTAATGTCAAGTACCTTCTATCTTCCGAATAATTGGAAGATACCGAAAATTGTGTTCGGTAAGATAATGAGTTACACTTGAAATGGTTTTCCTGTGTAGCCTAATACGTATGGCGTACTTTTCAATGTTTATTGGGTTAAGTTGAAAAAAGTGCCATAACCCCCCCCCCAAAAAACACACACCAAAAACCCGGGGTGCCCCAAAAAACCAAGATGAAAATTTAAGAAAAAAGGAGGAGAAGGAGCCCACCGTAAATATAAGGAGATTAGGTACTTTATAATAAGAATAAAATTCAACATGGTGGTGTCTGTTGTGCTTAATCATCATTTCTTTTTAGAACTGCTAGGCCGATAAGTACAGCTTACCTTAAGTAGTTGTGATAAAGGTAGAGAAGTATCAAGCGGAATCTGACACCTCATTTGCCTCAAAACCAATATGTTATCCCATTTTGTGCAGATAAGGATTCTATTTTTCAAGTTCTCAAATATGTTCTTGGTTCCAAGTCCTAGTTCAGAAATTGCCATAACAAGGTTTTTGTGATAATAATGGAAAAGTTCCTGCATGCTGGGAATAAGGAGCTTAAAATGAACAGAACATTAGAATTGCCATTGTCTTTCGTCTTATTCACCTTAAATGGTATCCAGAACAAACCACTTTGTTGGTACTGGCCATTGTTTCCTGATGAAAATTAACTGTCCATATTTTCTGGTTGGTCTTGTTGGTTAATAAAACTAGAGCCTATATATCTATCAGTTCATGTGGAAAACAAAGTTGACTAATTTCCTGTAAGCATGATCTTTTCTTCATTTTTGCTCATTTCTGCTGATGTACATCTTTACTCTCTAGAAATGTTTTCAACGAAGTTCAGGGCTGGCATTGGTGGGGGTCATCTATCATCAATTGGTTTTTTGTTCGATCTTCTGAAAATTCTTTGGGAAATTTGCTCCTAGTCAGGTTATCAGCTTCTAATTGCTTCATGTCACTTTAAAATTCCCAAATTTGTTTGTTTATGCTTTCTATGCAACATAACGACATGTGGACTAAGAGATCAAGTGTCACATATCATCCTGACATTTAAAGTCAAGTCAGCTTGTTTTCAAGCGGTGACACATGTATGGGCTCCTATAATCTTTCTACAACAAGCTAAGTTCATTTTATCTGATGCATTTTCCCCCAGTTATGGAATTGGAGTTGTTTGTTCTATTCTTTGTTGTTAATTTCTTCTGGGGCAAAAGACGTAATTCACGGTGGCTGAAATTAAAACTGATTTGCTATATTGGTGCACAATAGGAGCAAGGGATGTGGAATCACTAAGACTATTTGCTGTAGAGGAAACAGAAAAGGCAGCAACAAAGGCGCAACTTGACAGCGATCAGGAGCTGTAGTTATTGAACGGGTAATACTTTATAGCAATATATCATTCGGCTGCACAAGTTGCAAAACCTACCATGATGATTTACTTTGCAAATTGGTAGTTGTATTTGACAGCACATGCTTGTTTATGATCCAACATTTTTTTCCTGATACATGGTTGCATTCCATGCAGTTTTGCAGCTTTCACGAGGAAAAGCATTTTGGCTTTGGGGAATATTCAGCAGGACAGGAAATTTCTAGTCAAGCTGATTGAGAAAAACTCGTATACTTGGTTTATGGTCGCTCTGTTTTTCGTCATCAGTTACACGGTTATTTCCTCTGCAAGATCCTATTAGAATTCGATGGTTGTAACTTTGTTGTTAGAACCATTGGGTATAGAGTCACTTTTTATATTTCCATCAAGATTACAAATCTTTATAAGGTTCTATATTCATGTTTGACTCTGCCTGAAGTTGCAAAAAGGGTTCACCGTTTTTCTCAGGTAACATAGTCCAATTCTCTGCTTACTCAAACGGGCCTTCACTCTCGTACTATCTATTTGACCAAGAGAATCAAGAATTTAGTCGGATGTCAGTATAATCTGGATTTGCTCCTTTACTTGAAAGAGTACATGTACCATAGGTTAAATCCTTCGTGTGTGAGCATTTTGACACATCAAAATTGCAAAAGAAGAGAAATAGATACGTGAGCATTGAAGGCTCGTGGCCCTCTCGTGCTTGGAGAAGAGACTATGATGTGGTGTTAATTTGAGCAAAATTTTCTGTTGTACGGTAATTAAGAAATCAACCACCTTTGACGCACAAAACTGCCAAGAAGTGCCCGTGTTTCATTGTCTACTACTCTTGTAGCTTGAATGATGGCTTGTACGTTACCGTTGTAAAGCTATCTGAATATGGCGCCATCGCAAGTGAGAATCGGTTGGACTTAAAAGCTGCGAGACATGAACATGGTTGATAACGAGAAAACAGCAGCTTGACTGCATCCTTTTTGCCGTAGTAAAAAACAATCCAATTTGCTAACCATTTCATATGATCTGTAGAACTACAAATTTATCATTCTTCCAATCTGCTGACAATTACCGATAGGGTACATACTGACGTCATAACCTTATTGAGTTAATTCAAATGATATAATCTATACAATATGTTGTAAACCCTAGAAGAATAATGATGAAATAAGCAGAGATCCACCCCTTTTAGGCTTTTAAATTGTAGGAGGAGGATGCACTTGTTAGTTCTAACAAGAAAGAACGATGATATGTACCTAGTAAAGTGGCAAAGCAGCTATGCATAATTAAAACTATATGATGCCATGAGACTAAGGAAAGACTAAAAGCTTCTTACACCTTGGAACAAATGCAATCATCTCAGAATATAAGCAGAAAGCAAAAATTTCACGAATTATAGTAGTATATTATCCTTGGAAGGCAAACCACAAAACTCTTGAGCTGCCTGGAATTATAGTAATACATTCCAAAGCACCTCAAACCACAAACATCCAAAAGCAGAAATCACAAAGACTCAGTTCTGTAGGATCTGCCACCGTCTGTCAAGCACCCAATTCTGACAGAGGCTAACCAGCATACAGGGCAGAAAACTACGACACAACAAATAACACATACACAAAACTACTGAAGCAGCACTTGAAAAGTTTGCATGACACAATTTATTGTAGTAGTAGATTTCATTTGAGGGCCAACCAGCATGAACCTGCACGGTTCATTTGGCACCCTTCTTAGCAGCAGCCTTGGTGACCTTGGCACCAGTAGGATCCTTCTTGTCAACAGCCTTGATAACACCAACAGCAACAGTTTGTCGCATGTCCCTAACAGCAAAACGACCAAGGGGAGGGTACTCTGAGAAAGTTTCAACAACCATGGGCTTGGTGGGAATCATCTTGACAAAACCAGCATCACCATTCTTCAAGAAGGGCTCCTTCTCAAGCTCCTTGCCAGATCGCCTGTCAATCTTGGTCACAATCTCAGAGAACTTGACAGCAATGTGAGAAGTGTGGCAATCAAGGACAGGGGCATATCCATTGCCAATTTGGCCTGGGTGGTTCATGATGATGACCTGGGAGGTAAAGCTGGAAGCTCCCTTAGCTGGTCATCCTTGGAGTTGGAAGCAACAAAACCACGCTTGAGATCCTTCACAGCAACGTTCTTCACATTGAAACCAACATTGTCACCAGGAAGTGCCTCTTGAAGAGCTTCATGGTGCATCTCAACAGACTTAACTTCAGTTGTCAGACCAGTTGGACCAAAGGTCACAACCATACCAGGCTTGAGAACACCTGTTTCAACACGTCCCACAGGGACGGTTCCAATGCCACCAATCTTGTACACATCCTGAAGTGGGAGACGGAGTGGCTTGTCTGAAGGCCTCTTGGGCTCCTGGATCTGGTCAAGAGCCTCAAGGAGGGTTGGGCCCTTGTACCAGTCAAGATTGGTAGACCTCTCAATCATGTTGTCTCCCTCAAATCCAGAGATAGGGACAAAGTTTATTTTGTCAGGATTGTATCCGACCTTCTTCAAGTAGGAAGACACTTCCTTCACAATTTCATCATAACGTGCCTTGGAGTACTTGGGAGTGGTGGCATCCATCTAGACAACAAAAAAGGTTGAACAGAAGTTAGAGATAAACAAAAAGCCTGCAGTATTTATGTTCGACATTAAAACCCCAGGAGCTCACCTTGTTGCAGCAGCAAATCATTTGCTTGACACCAAGGGTGAAAGCAAGCAAAGCATGCTCGCGGGTCTGACCGTCCTTAGAAATACCAGCTTCAAAACCACCAGTGGTGGAGTCAATGATAAGGACAGCACAATCAGCCTGAGAAGTACCAGTAATCATGTTCTTGATAAAGTCACGATGTCCAGGAGCATCAATGACAGTGCAGTAGTACTTTGTGGTCTCAAACTTCCACAAGGCAATATCAATGGTGATACCACGTTCACGCTCAGCCTTAAGCTTGTCAAGCACCCAAGCATACTTGAATGACCTCTTGTTCATTTCAGCAGCTTCTTTCTCAAACCTCTCAATCACACGCTTGTCAATTCCTCCAAGCTTGTAGATCAAGGACCAGTAGTGGTCGACTTTCCAGATCGACGTGACCAATGACCACAATGTTGATATGAACCTTTTCCTTACCCATTCTGAAGTGCTAAAAATCTGAAAACTAAACACAGTAAATACTTTTATCAGCTAACATTCAAAATCCAAAAGAATTTGACTGAAAACATAACATGGAGTACATATACATTAGATGCAACTTTAATCATGAAAATCTCCCTCAAACCATTATAGCAAGCATGTCACACTATAAATTTCTAAAACATGTAAAGTTCTAGATCCAAAAAAAACTCCTATGTAACTGATCGCAAACAATTTACTATATACAAGCATGACAGATCAAAAAGCAACCAATATCTCAAAACATAAACATGACTCGGAAAATAAAACGACAAACAGAAAGCAACCAAAAAACTGATCCACTTCCCAAACGAATAAATCAGGTCGGATAGATATATCAATCTTCTCGCCATCGAGTGATTGACCAACAAGAGCGCATACACCGGACAATTGACGCCCGTGAACAAAAATTAACTCCACGTGAATGAATCACAAAACGACAGATTCACACAATTCATCAAAGAAAATAAACCCATAGAGCATTGAATTTCCACATGCATTGATTTAAATCATAGAACAGTAATCAACAGCTCGACAAATCAACATCCACAGGATCAAGAAAAAATCGGCTGTATTAAAGCTTATAAAAAACGAAAAAAATCAGGAAAAACTAAGGCCAAAAAAAAATCTACAAAATAGTCATAAACTAAAAGAATTAACATGCATCGATTCCTAAATTCATTTAGGAAGAATTCTAGCATTTGTGAACATCTACTGAGAGTACAAAAGCTCGCAGACATGCATAATCAACAAAATTACGGCAAAAAATTGCTGAAATAAACGAGATATGAGCACAGATCTAACCTTCTCGAAGACAGGAGCGAGAGAGAGCTGCCGCAGAGAGTCGAAAAAATTAAGGGAAACAAAATGGAAGGCAGGTTTGAGGGGTTTTCTTTGCGTTTTATAGGCAAGAAAGGATGCGAGCCTGGTCTAGGGCTTCTTTGGGTCCTGTTTGACGAAAATACCCTTGTATTTTAGTTAATGGCGGCGTTTCTTGGAGAGGAGGCAATGGAGCCCGAGCAAAACGCAGCCCATTTAGGGTCGGTGTCTCGATGAGTCAGGAATTTTGTTTGATTTTTTTATTTTACATTTTTTCACACCTCCTTTTTTGATATCATGACGACAAGTGAGAACCAACTACTCTAATGGATATAGGTCAAGAAAAATTCTTTGGTCTACATTCTGTTTCCACCCTTTCTCAGCGTGATTCATTGAATTTTCCTTTAAATCCCCTCCCTATAGCATAGAGTAGGTGGCTTTTTGGATAGTTATTCATCAGATTCTCCTTTTAAGTCCCCGTCTCCCTAGTACAAAATAGGTGTAGGTCAAGTGATGCTGGTCTCTTGACCTGCATTCTATTATCCACATTTTTTTAGTGATCGTTCACGATTTCTCTAACCCTTGATTTCTTTAGGTCTCTCTCCTTACTATAGAATAGGAGCTAATGTTAGAGGGTGTTAGGTCCTTTTTGCTTTGCGCATAAGTGAAATTTGGCCTCTTTTTTTAACATGCGCATTCCAAGTCCTCTACAAAAATGGATCAACTTTTTTAATTATAAAAATATTTTAATAAAATTTTAAATTTTAAAATACCAAAAATATAGTTACAATAAAAATTTTCATATACAATGTTGTTATAATACTACATTGTATAATATTTGAAAAATATCTCTAAGACACCTAATCCATGTGGACCATAATACTAATGGTACTATACATCAATTAATATTTTAGTTATGTACAAAACACCTAAAAGAATACATATTTTTCACGTTGTCTTCTTTTTTCAATCATTGTTCAAGTGAATTAATCCGCGCAATGAACTTTTTAGTCTGTCAATGTAATGCAGTTATCCAGCAACCCCAAGTCCAAATGATTTTGTCATGTGAGGCGAACGTTTTGCCAAAGAAAGGAGAAATATGCCCTCTAAAATTTCATATAATTCGTCAATTTGGGCATAAAAATGTATAATTCGGAGTATCTTTGTCAACAAATATTTTTTATATAGTTTACTTTTGTCTTCATAATTTTAAACACGTGAATACACTTTATTTTTCGAATTATTGCTTCTGTTGAGCGTATATATTTTTGTTTTTTTGGCAATATACAAAGTTGGAATCGCAATTGAGATTTGCTATTATTTTTTTCATTTCTAGATTTGCTAGGTTAAGTGTATTGTTTTTAGAAAAAATGGAAAATTTTAGAGGACAAATTCATTTAATTGGATAATAAGGGAAAAAGTGATATTCATCGTTATTTTAGTGTCCATTAGAATTCACCTTAAAAGTTGCATAAAATTCATCAAATATTGCAAATTAGACTATAAATGACCAAAACATTTATACTCCAAGATTGGTTGTTTGTTTGTTTGTTTCATTTTAAGAATTTAAAAGTTTTCCATATATGGTTAAATCTCAAATGTATACAAAGGTAATTATCTATGATACGAGGTTAAGAACTTTGCTTTCACATCTTCTACTTTTTCATGCCTCTCAAAATTTTGAATAATGGTTTATTTGAATTGAAAGATTTTGGGCAAAACCCCACAGCAGTCATTAAACTATTGTCATAATCATGTTTTGACCATCGAACTATTTTTCGTCAATAATTAATCACTGAACAACTTAATCAGTAAACTCGTGGCCATTTCATCGATAATAACTCTTAATTTCTGAAATTAGCATGACACGTGGCAAAGCACAGGACAATTTTGCCAAACAATTTGTTTTGGCAGGACAAGGAGAAGAGCGAGCGAGAATCAGGGAAGACTGCAGTTAAAAACTTTAGGGTAGCAAGAATAGGGTGGTAGGCAATCCTGGCCAGTTTGTTCCAGAATACCAATGTGGATTCATCTTCCCCTCAATATATCAGTCAGACCTGAGCTTGATGGACTTTTTCCAAACCCATCCTACCTACCTCAACAAGTCAGCTGCCCCTCACTTCTATTGCCATGAGATGTAGCTTAAACTACAGCAAAATCGTTTCTTTGACCAATATGTGTTGCAAACGGATCAAGAGCAGAATGATCCTGTGCTCAGACGACTATAAGAGCCCTAGAACCGTGGTGTTGGGCTCCACGAAAAGTGAAGAGGATGATGCCCGAGACAGATAAATTGTGCTTGGACATCAATGCAGCCACATTTTTGCTGGCTTTTACAACCAAGAAATGTGATCTCATCCCTGAAATGCCATTCAACTGGCATATAATCTTCGAAAGCCTACATGGAATGCCCTAATATACAAGCCAAAAAGACCGAAGGACAAGCATCGTGTGTCACCAAAAAGCAAAGCTTGCTTTTGACCTCCAAAAGCATCTGGACCAAAAAGCAGAACCCACTAGTGATAAACACCCGAGAATTTGGTAAGCATGAAAGAATCACTAAAGAAGACTTGTTAAATCTATTGTTGGACAAAACTGTCCTGTGCTTTGCCACGTGTCATGCTAATTTCAGAAATTAAGAATCATTACCGGTGAAATGGCCACGAGTTTATTGATTAAATTGTTCAATGACCAATTATTGAAAAAATAGTTCGATGGCCAAAACATGATCTTGATAATAGTTTAATGGCCGCTAGGATTTTTTGTTCAAAAAATTTTTATATTTGCATTATAAACACGTTTTCAATTAATTTTTTTTACTTTTTTTATTATCATTTTTTTTAACTATATCACATTATAAAAAGTGCAAGTACATTAAAAACTCCAAAAAATTTTACACTCCAAAATTAATATTCTATTCAAAGACAAAACTCTAATCTAAACAATTTATTAAGTTACATGAAGTTAATATGATAAAGGACAAGCAGTCTGAAAATTAAAAAAAAATATATAAAATTCTACGAGTAGCTTGAAAGTAATAAAATAAAATAAAATTTAAGGCAGAGAGCTAAATAGGTATTTGTACGGCAATCGAAATGTAATAATAGAGCATTAGGTTGTTAGAGGTGTTTGTATTTAGGGATAATTTCAGAAACCTCTGGAAATATCAACCACCTCCCCATTAGATTGATGGGGCCTGATTATTACAAATTATATGGTGAAATGACTTAATTACCCCAAAACTTATGCTATATTTCATGATTATGTTAATTGAATTAATTAAATCATCACTTAAGGCTCCGTTTGATAACACTGAATCTGAATTCTGAATTCTGAATTCTGAATACTGAAATAATTAATTTGCTGAATTTTAAGCACTGAAAAGAGATATATGAATGTCTGAATCTTAATGCTGAATCTATTTATACTGTTTGATAAATATTCATAACTTAATGCTTAATAAGCTATATTGTACAATTTTGCCCTTCTATCTTTTAATCCAAAAAGAAAATAGAACCTATGATTTAATTAACTTAAAATTGTTAAGTATGAAAATGACAATGATTGTGAAGAGCAATACATACAATGATAATGTTTCTTTGTGTAGGAAAATGGTATGGTTTCATCGTTTTGAGAATGGGAAAATGAACTTTTAATACTCCAAAAGCACGCTCAATTACATTTATCAATCTTGCATGTGCTTGATTAAAACGTTTTACTTTTGATCTTGGACGAGAAGCATTTCGAAAATCAGACAACCAATATCTAATATTTTGATATGGTGTCATAAAGCCACGTGTGTGTGGATAAGCTGCATCACATAAATAATATTTATCTGCCACAAAAAATATATATATCAAAATATAAATGTTTGTGGATGAAAATTACTGCAAAAAAATACTATTGTTAAAAAAAATTTTGAATAGAGAATATTAGGTTGTTTTGTTTAATTAGATAAGGATTTTGAATAGGGAATATTAGGTTGTTAATTAGATAAAAATTTTGAATGTAATTAACAAACAGGGATATATTTGGTAGATAAGATAAAGTAGTTGAAATAAATCTCTTGATTCTTATCAAATTAAGCATTCAGCTACGATTCTTGTGCTGAAAAAAATACATACAAATTCAGCACCACTTAATAAGTTCAACAGGTGAATTTTTATTTATTAAACATCTGCAACATCTGAATGTCTGAATGAATTCAGTTTCAACACTTTTTTATGTTATCAAACAGGCACTAAGTGTGCTTAATTGAAATAACAACCATTTGCAAGGGCGCCAAATTGAGGTGCCTTTTTTGCGCCATTTTGTAGTTGTGATTGATGTAAAAGTCTTGATTCAGACATGAAATTGAAGGCACACAGGCCGCTTTATACAGTAAGATACCAAAGTATGCTGTTCTTCTAAGGCAATATAAAACCCAATAGCATAGGCAAAACTCATCAAAACACCCAAGCATTTTTTATCTATTGCTACTTTATTTTGAGTTATTTATCAAAATATATTTACTTATATCACCATTATAATTTCAATACACCTTTTTACCTTCTCAATTATTTTTTATTTTACATACATCACATCATAAAAATATTACAGTAAAAATATCTCAAATAACTTACTATCCAAACACAGTTTCGTGCAAGAGTATGGCTGCAAAGAGACGTTAGAAGCTATTCACGAAGAGCCGTTGGTTGCTAGTTTCCAAAATGAAATAGCAACCTAGCCTTTGATGAGAGTTTCAAATACGCACCGCCGAATTTTCATTCTTGTTATATGCCTAAGTACATTACAAATTAACCTACTAATGACAATCTCAAGGGTAGCTGTGGAATGAAGTTTTTTGTCTCTCTCCGGATACACATTTTATGTATTGTTTGTGTTTTTGAAATGGGTTGGATTATTACTGGCCTAATTAGCGGGTGGCTAATATTTTGAAAACCTCAAGGAGGCCAGTGAAACTGTAAAAAATCTTGGGGGAGATTTCTAAGATTATCCCTTGCATCCAATATTTTCTACGCGCAAACGAGAAGATTGCCATGTGGTAAGTAAGAGTTCAGAATTGATAAGAGTTAAGACTCGACGGACCATTTTATCTAGTTGTCGGGTTGTTGCCCTTTCCTTTTAGACTGCCTTTGCCCTTTGGCCTTTGCCTTTGTCCTTATCTTCTGGTCAGCCTCGCACGGTTGCAGTGTTGCACGCCTGCGTATCTCTCCACCAACCAGGCATCATTTCTCCGTCTCCGGCGGTATTTAGTTCTCGCCGGCATAACTTCATCGACAGAACTTAACACAGCCCTGTTCTGATGATCAAACCATTTCTCAGACCGGATCAAATAATCATCGAACCTTCTTTCTTTCTACATCCATTTCGGATCAAGAACAAAATTTTCAACACCATCCTCCAGGCCCCACACCCAAAAACAAAACAAAACAAAGACAAAAATAAAAGACGAGGAAAAAGCAACTAAAGTTCAACAGACTTTGATCTCAGATTAACAAGGGAAAATACAGAAGCAAGAAGAATCTACCTAAATTAATCTAAAAGAAGATTACATCTGAAAAAAGGAAAAAAAAAAAAAAAAAAAAAGAACCCCTAAATAATGACCTAAAAAGTAGAGAACATTCTTAGGCAGCCTTAGCTGTGCAAGAAGACAAAGAGATGCATGATAGATCATGAAGTACAAGAACAACATCAGCAGCTGCCAGATCTCCAGCTACTTCCTCTCCACTTCTGATCTCTTGAGAAACTCTCTCCTCCTCTTCTTCATCGTTCTTTGGGATAATAGCCTTCTTACTGTCTCTTGATCTGCAACTGCATGCAAGTCTTTGCTTGCTCCAAATCTTAACTTCTTGAACCCTTTTCTTCTGCGATCATGATCTGCCATCCTAAATCCCCAAAGAAAAAGCAAAGGGTAAAAAAAAGAAGAAGAAGAAGAAGAAGTTACTCCTATATCCATTAGGTATTTATTTTAATAAATAAAAACGACAGAGAGTGTAGATCAGATAATTAAAAAGTAGTACATACTCTTTGGAGAGAGCAACAGGATGCGTAAACCCAGAAAGACAAATGGGAAGCCCAGTGACAGTTTGTGTATTCAAGACTGGTGCCATTTACAGATGTGACGTTAAAGCTTTCAACGGTTGCTGCTGGAGAGTCTTGTTCTTGTTCAAGGGGTTGTCCTGAAGATGGAAGAGAAATAAATAGTTGCTGGATTTTCTTTTGTGGGTTCTGACAGGAAATCTATTACAACTAGTGTTTCTATGCCTTTCTTTATCAGTAGCAAGAAAACTGGTAAAGAGTTAATAAGCATTAAATTCAGTCTTAAGTTGAACAAACTAGATAAAAAGTGGCTAACATAAGAAATTGGTGGAGAAATTTTATATATATATATATTCGTATATCTATCGTATATCTAACTGTGATAATGTATACATCATTAATGCATATAAAATTTACTATATATATACACGCGCGCGAAAACTTAGATATACCATTCATGATCGGTAGTTAGAAGAAAAAATATATCATTTTATCTTCTAGGGATTCTTGTATCAAATTGTTCTTATTTCATTTTCACCACTTGGGCACCATATTTTAAGTGATTTTTTTTATGCTATAAGATTATTAAACCATGACATTACCCTATACTTTTATTCTTATAGAATATAGAATGTTTTTATCTTCATTTACTACGTTCTTGATATAATGAAAGTTAAGTACCACTTCTTTTTTTTTTTTTTTTTGCATTATTTAGATGCTTGTATTTTTGTTTTAGGATAGATTTCATAAGTTTAAATAAGTACAAGGTACCTAATATTTAATCTGAACACGTAAGCAAGCGAATTTAGTTATAGAATTGATTGAATTATCTAGTATAACCATTTAGACTAATTTTAAAATTATGAATTTACCTGAAACCAAAAATTTTGCATTTAATGTTGAGTTGATTTTTAAAGTGACTAGCTCCACTTGGCGATGCTTCTACGCTGTAAGCGGGCCTTGGACATGTCAATAGCAAGCAACGGGCACTTCTTGTGCAATTTCATTTTCGAAGTCGACGCACATGGCCCAAAAGCTCATTCATTAGGAAACTTAACAGAATGCCATTACAGGAAGGCCAAGGACCCGGAGAACGACACCGTCATTCAATAACGATTCGGTTTTGTCTTCTCAGCTGTACTGTACTAGGGTCCGGTCCAAATTCCAGCCCAGTCGTTAACCAGTAACCAAAGACAAAGCTAGAAAGCTCCCATAACAGGTAAGTATTTATGTACTACTCACAATTCAATCGGTGTGTGGTTGCACCAAGTCCAACTCTGCCAAATTTCTGGCAATTGATCTTTTCTCTACTTTTCCTACTAATTATTTGTACTTTGTTTTTTGATTGTTGTCATCATCTACATTTACTCCTATTCTAATCTATATTAGGGGAGTGATCCAAGAGAATCACGAAAAATTGACGGGGACTGAACCACCATCGAATCATACAGATGCACAGAACACTCAATAGATCTAAGAGAAGCCACATTAAACGACAATTTTGATAAGAGGTAAGGTTTGAACCATTGATCGCCTAACTCACAAGATATGTGGTGACCAGGTAGTTGGTTGCTAATTATTTGTACCAACCTAATAATACCTACAAACTTAGGGAAATACTACCAATTATCATACCCATAATTGCAGTTCAATAAATTCTTCCCACATCATTCAATAATTTAAACTTTTAAAACTATCTAAGAGTTGATATCTTTTTTAATACATCCAACAATGAATAGATAGTAGTATGGTATCCAAAAGGTACCATAAAACTAGACTAAACAAATATATATTGCCAGGCAGTTGAGCCTTCAGTCTATCTCAGAATGTTCACATTTATGGAGTAGTTCTTTCCCTGTTCTACATATATGTTAGCATTTTTAGTTAGCGACTGAGCGCCAAGTCCTGTGTAAAAAATATGCTAGAAGTAGATTGCTTATTGAATACTAGTGTATGAATTTTTTACATTCTTCTTGGCCTTTCTTCTTGTAATAATATCCAATAACAATCGACAACACTACTAGCTATAGATTCCCCATATTGCACATTTATGTCGTCTGCTTCTAGAAAATAATTTATTAGTAGTAGACTGCCCTCTTGCATACATTCTTTTAACCGGATAAATTATCATATCTATGTACTTCCAACTGTGAGCTGAGAGTTGGTGTGCAATTCACTTTGCAAACAGGTTGAGTAGACATATTTTGCCACTCCACCACCATGCGGTGGAAAACTGGAAATTTAAGAGAGAGAGAGAGAGATACACGGCTTAGGCTTAATATATATATATATATATATATATATAATACTCTCTCCGTCCCACTTTGATAGCCCTGTTTTCCTTTTTCGTCTGTCCCAAATTATAGTCCACTTTCTAATTGAAGAATGTAGTTGTATTTTAATTTTCTAAAATACCCTTATTCAATGTAAGTTATTGTTACTATAACCTACTCCATTTAATGAGAGTTGATTTTTTTTTTTACCATTAATTCAAGTTCCCATAAAATTGTACTCTAATTAATGAGGGTATTTTAGGAAAATAGTTACCTAAATTGATTGCTCCAACAAAGTTAACTACTTTTTATTAAACTATGTGAAAAAAGAATCGAGATTAATCAAAGTGAGACGGAGGGAATATATTATATATATATATATATATATTATATATATATATATATGATATAGAGCGTTTAGAATTGAATTTGTAAACCTAATCTATTTCACACGTGTTTTATTTTCCAATAAGCTTTGTAAACCTAATCCATTTCATACATACGTGTTTTATTCTCCATTCTCCAATCAGCTTCGCGGACATAAACCCCAAAGACCAAGACCTCCTAACGGAGAATGCCAAAACGTGAAAACGCCATCAAGTGCAAGCACCAAAACGTGGAAACGCCATAATTGACCGACCAGAATTTTCTCAAGGAATGGTAAAAGGTCATACATTCGAGAATATGCCGTGTTCACATGTCGTTTCTCCGCTCTATCTTCAAACATCTTTCAAGTAGCATCAGGGTTCATGCTGGAAAGTCTTCAGCAATAATGGAGGTGGATTCTTCCTCCTCATGACCATTTCTTTAAAAACCAAACATTGCTCTTATAAGCATCAAATTCCATCCTCATTCCTGGAAGGAGAAACATATTAGTGGGTGCTTGTTGGAGAACTAGTCCATTACGAGACCCGTATGCTACATACTGCCATGTGCACGATTAGACATGCTTAAAGTTTAAACCCCTTCCCACTTAAGCTCTACGCACCAGAAAAAGTCAGGAAACAGGTAGTATAAGAACGTAGTTGGCAACGTTTTCTTTTCTTTTTTTTTTTTTTTTTTTTTTTTTGTTTTTTGGGCTGAGATTAAGGTTTTCATTAAGTTTATAAGCCCTTAACGAGATCAAGCTAATCAGAAGGCGGATATTGTTGCTTAATTAGAAACAAAAGACAACTGGAGAGCACCCATAGATAAATGATTTTTTTGCAATCAAATTTGTCCCCGACTCGTGGCATGAATCAAGATATGAAATTATTACCTTTACGGGTCCATTTGAACTTTTTCGAAGGCTGGATGGGGACTTGACGGTGCCATTTCTCTTCCACAAGCATTGAATTGGTAGTATACTTGTCACTGAATTCTATATAGAATTTTCAACAAGTAGATGTATATATATACAGAACACAGGCTCCATCGCAATATTGCATACCCTGCAATCATTTCAAGAATTGTACAATACACTTTAATTAAGCGTCTCATCATCAACCCTTCCCAGGCCAGTAGGAGAAAAGTGTTCTTTGACTCGATCTCAAATTGGATTGCATTTGTTTTACTAGTTCTCTTCTTTCAGCAAATTATTCCATTCGATTCTTCCTCACACCTGTCACCCTTAGATTAATAATGTCCAATCAAACATTTGTTTAATGTTTATTATCATCTATGATGCAACCATGAAATGATTAATGAGTCTAAGCTTTGAAATTGTCAAACAAAGATAGAAAAATGCATCAAGGAAACCGAAAGGTCCAAAGCCAAGCATCTAGCTCTAGATGGTGACACTAACGATAGTAATTAACTAGACATTAAATTAATTAGTAGGAGTAAACTAAGGCAAATAATATTGGCATTTCTAAAGAAGTGTCTAGCACTCCTTTCATGCTGAATTATGATCTAATTGACGAAATTGCTTTCTATTTCTTTTTTTTTTGGCGCAAGTATTTGGAACTAATTGTGTGTTTCTTTTTTTTTTTTTCTCAATTTGTGGCCAACTAAAGATTTGAATATGTTCTTTTTTTCACTTAGGGGGTGTCCCAGCCTTTTTTTTTTTTCCAACTAATCCCCCTAAGGCCAGCAGAGCCCTGCCCAAGGAGCAATTTTGCCACAGCGGGGTCGAATATGTTCTATTTACGACGAGATATATTTCTGTCTAGTTTGGTGATGTGTTTACAAGATACATTATTGTAATTGGAGGTTATTCTTGTGATATTTAAATGCATTTGAGGCTAGATTAAAATTCTGGTGTAATGATTTGTTTAGATTATGAGTAGAAGATTACATTGAATTGATGAAAGGGATGATTTTGATTCGAAAAAGTAACAAGCATAAATCTAGGACTTGAATAAGCATAGAAGAAATGCCATAAACAATGGACAAAAGAGGGCATTTTGGAAACTCAAGGAACATAAAATAAAGGGTTATTATCACTTTACCCCCTTAACTTTGGTGCACTATCAATTTCCCCCTTAACATTATTTTTAGTCACTTTACCCTCAAGACTAACGGCAAACTTAACGGAGTTTGTTAATTAAAAAAAGGCATGTTTAACCCTTAAAATTATTATCACTTTACCCCCATAAAATATAGTCTCATTATCAATTTACCTCATAGAATTATTTTTTAGACAATTTATCCTACCATTAAACCAACTTAGCAAGTTAAAAAACTTTAGAAGAAAATACCATTCTCTTTGCATAATAAAAGTAATAAAAAATTTAGAGCGACTCTTCTCTTTTAATATCAAGAAAAAAAGTCAAAGTATTAATTTTTTCTTCTTGACAATCTTATTAATATTGAAAAAAAAATAGAAAGATGGAGAGGGGGAGGGGGAGAGAGAGAACTCAATTTTTTTAAAATTAAAATAAGAAAGAATTAAATACTTTATTATTTTAAAATTATTTCACTTTTTCGTTTACTACGAAATTTCAATTCTAATCCTGACAAACCTTATAAGTAATACGATAATGTTAGACTTTTCTTTATTTTATTTTTTGCAAAATCTAATTTTTTGTCTCCTTCTTTCCTATCTCTTTTCTTTTCTAGTATTAATAAGTGTGAAAAAAAAATTTGAGAAAACTCTTTTATTTTTATGTTTTTCGATCTCTTAAAGTAAAAAAAAAAAGAAGAAAGAATAACCATTCTAACTTTTTATTTTAATTATATATAAAAAAGGATAAATATATTTAAAATTTTTTGACCATACTAGCTAGATTAATGATGAGGTAAAATGCCTAAAAAGTAATGTTAGAACTAAAATGATTGTATCACTATAATTCAAACGAATAAAGTGATACTAACAACGTAGTAATGCTATAAAATAAAAGATATTTTTGTCAAAATTTATTAACATATTGAGTTGAATTACTTATAGGGGTAAAGTGATAAAAGGTAATGTTGAGAAACTGATAGTAGTGATATAGTTTAAGGGGATAAACTATAACCCTAAAATAAATGATTGGAGTGTTAGAGTGTTTATTGGAGGGCAAATATAATTTTCGGTAGACTGATATGGTGGTGTAAACTTTTTATTAGCAAGCAGCTGACTTCAGCAGCTGACATAATACAATTTGTCATTATCTTTGTCCATTGCCAGATCTCTATGACATCTGTCCATGTTTGTACGACAATCACAAGATGGCAACCACCATAGGACAGAAATTAAACATGCGAGCCCCTTAAAGATAAGTGAAATGCAAAAGAAAAAGATCTCGTAAGGTTGGGTCTCTTGGGGCCAGACCAAGCAAAACATATTAGACAGTAGTAACGTTTCATTCCTCCAGTAAATCTCTAAAAATATCGAGCAGGGACCTTAGCCACATATTTCTGAGTAGAGAACAACGACGATGAGGTTCCCTTCGCAGGAGAGATGAAACCGAAGATTATTCCGGTTTCTACAGCCAAGAGATAGGGATGGTCGTCGGTGTCATCGTCCTGCGTTAAGGAAACCTTGTATCTTTGCAGCCTTATGTATGCGTTTATGTTATTTACTACCCTAGCTATTTCTAGAAAAAAAAAAAAAAAATTGTTGGTTTTGCTCAAAGGGTTCATCTGGCTGCAGATTTGTGTACCGGAAAATGGTAAATTAAGTCGGTCTTTCGGTTTCCTCTAGTTTCTCGATAGTTTCTCATACACTGCTTGATTGTAATATATACCCATAATTTTCCTTCACGAAATGCATCCCATTTGTTAGCCTCGACCTATCAGATGCAGTTCGTTCTTTCATCTGTAAGCTTGCTTGTGCTAATTATGGAGAAATATCAAATTTTAGAAAATCATTTAGGTACTTCTTCTTTGGCTTATCCTTTGGTTGCATCCATTTCAGGTACTGAAAAAATGACCGACACTTTTACTATGTAGTAAGAGAAGGCATTATGTTGAGAATATGCGTCGAGTGGAGTCAACGGAAGCCAACGGCTGCAGCTCCGCTCTTTCTTGGTTTCTTTCCGATCCGCGAGCTTACAACCTCCAGAGTGCTGAGCCTCCATTGAGCCATCTTTCCTAAATCGCCAAATGAAAAGATTACGCCATATATGCTATGTCAGTTGCTATTATCCGACACTCCTCCTCAGTTTCTATGCACAGTAAATTGTGCATCAGATTCTGTAGTCATTCGTTTCAACTTTCAAGTGAGAGGTATCATTTGCCATTACTAATGCATTTCATAGCGATAACTCAACGTTAAGTTAAGGTAGTGATACATGTCTGGTATATATATATATATTCTCTAATACCATTTCCTTTTTTTTTTTTTTTAAAGATGCAAGGAAGCCTTCAATCTGTACAATGAAGAAAGGAGAAAGGAGAGGGCTCAAGAGTATTTAAGTACGATGATGATGTTGTGAAGACGTGATTTTAGTAACGTGTTACTAGCATGAATGAGCTAATTACCGAGGATGTTGTGATAGTAGATCTTGAATGTTTAAACTCCCAATTGCGAGTTGCATAATTAGCTACTGACTAAATTGTGGTTATGAAGCTACTAAATTATCTCTATTTTGTAAACATAATCCTTAAGCAGTTTATGTTTCTGATCAATTCTCAAATCAGGTTCAAACTGGTAACTACTTCCACAACTGAAGCTACCATTCATCCTCAGTGCTCCAAAGAAACAAACATCGGAACCACCTATCATCCCATAAGAAAAGGCATGATTGCATAGCACTTCTTCAAAAGAACCGGAGGGAAAAGAAGGAGCAAGAGAGATCAACAATTGAGCATGATGACATTCCCGTTCTAGTGATAGAATTGGGGTACGTTACATGTAATCTCTTGTACTTTTGTCTAATGCCACGTTATCCCTTAGGTTTCAAAATAATTATAATCCTCCTGTGAATTTATATAGAGTGAAAAATGGTAGAATACACAATCGGATATGTCAATTGAACTAGATGAGCTAAAAACATGCGCACAACAGAATCATAATAGCCAGTTAACTCCCTATAATTTGCATGAATATCCACTAATTTCATTATGATTTTTGCACTTATCCGCATAATCCCCTACGATTTTATTAATTATACAACGCAATCAGTCATTATTTAAGTAAGGGCAATATAGGTATTTTAGTTAACAATATTACATGAAACTATTTTTGAATCAAGTTTCCATTTTACTAAAACTATAAGAGGGTTAACTGCAAATGGCAGGCCATGTGAAAGCAAGTAGGGTCAACTGGCCCCACTTAACTTTGGATTAGGTTTAGAAAATTTTAAAATTGCATCTTATTTGATCCCAGTAAATTTTAATAAATTATCTTTTCTATACACATTGACCCCCAAACAATTGAAAATGTATAATTGTTACCATCACAAGAATTTTGAATTTATTCAAGTTATTTATGGAAGTTATTACAAGAATAAATTCTTCCAAAGTTTCCAAAAATAAGAGATGAGTTTTCTTGAGTAGAGTGGGAAAATCAATTCTTTCAAACTTCAAAGTTTCCAAAAACAATAATTTTTCAAATGGATGCTAAATTTTTTATTTATAATACAAAATTTAATCTGCAGGTATATTATTTCTAGTGTATATTTAATCTACTATTAGGACGGTAATACAAATCAAATCATGATGGATGATTTCCAACAATCCGTTAATGAAACTTGCTTCTATTAAAAAAATAATATGTATATAATGGTAGTAGTTTTTATTTTTATATTCTAATTTTTTTCTTTATAAAAGCTTTAATGCGTCAAAAAATTTTGGATTTTCTTAAAAAAAATTTATATTTTTCAATTATCATTTTACCTTAAATACATTAAATCGATGTAGTACTTTTTTTACAAAAATTTCAAAAAAAAACTAGCAATCGAAATGGACTCTAAGGTTTACTGTATTAAAACTAGCAATCGATGTAGTACTTACCATGAGGTCTTGGTTCTAGCCCTGATTAAGTGGATATTTTGAAATGTTAAGAAGGTTATGTGTAATGAGCGAAACCGTAAGGGGGTTTTGTGCAATTTCACGTAAAAATTATATGTACGAGAATTTATTGTGTACGAGAACATGTGTATTTCTCTTAAAGTTTTAAACACAAATTAAGCCGTATTTAATGTATTAAGTAGTAAAATATTTCTGCTGTAGTCAAGAAATGTGAGAGAGAGAGAGAGAGAGAGTAGCATCAGTATCGCTTTTCGACTCTATTTTCAAACATATTTCATGTTGCGTCGGTGTTTTAATAAATAACAAAAAATAAAAAAGGGAGAGAGAGTAGCATCAGTATTCAAGCTTGAAAGTCTTCCATATAATTTGGTGCAGATAGAAGTAGAACCTACCTACCATTTCTTCCCAAAACCAGACATTAAATATTACAAGCATGAAATTCCGCCCTCGTTCCCAGATCTACTTGCTCCTTCCTCGGACATGCTAAAAGGTATCAGTTGAAAAAGGATATCCCACAAAGCGGCATCAGCTGAAGTCAGACGAAAATCCACAAAGAGGATGGACCATTTACAAAGTACATCCATTGGCTAAGCTGTACCAAACTTAGGGAGCATATTCTAAAAAGAGATTAGTCTTACTGGCCATGTCCATGATGATCACGCCATGTTTAAACTTTTACAAGCTTAAAGCCCTCGCGATTCAACTGGGGATGGGGTTCTGGTTATGTTTTTATTGTAAATTTAAGCCGTTAATGTGACTGTGGGATGAAGCTAAGACAAGGCCAATTATCAATTGTGTTGCTTAGAAACCATTTCCAACTGGAGAGCACCTATTCCACAGCTAAGATGACCTTTTCTTGGCATTCAAATCACTCAGCCGCCATAATCGATATATCCAATTTGCCATTGCTCGAAATGGACAGTGCATGGACAAGTCCCTGGCGTCTAGAGTGGGGATAGCTCGTGGCATGAATAGACACCTTTGTATGTTTACGGGTCCATCCCTGTGAGCTTCTTGTGGAGAGGGGCAGTGCATTGGATATGGTTGGGGTCTGATTATATTGTACACTTTTAATATTAGTTGACGTACAATTATATCACATTATTGCATTCAAGGTAAAATTGGTGAATATGAATAAAATATTTTACATATATTCAGTAAAATATTGTGATATATTTGTACACTAAAAATTTAAATATGTACAACGATTGGATAGAATCGCACAAGACACATGATTTGTATTTCAGCTCTTGTACGAACCTTTTCAAGGCTAGAGAGGCCGTCACGGTGCCATTTGTTGGGGATAATACAAGAGAAAGTGACAAAAAGTTACAAAGCAGATGATGCAAAAAGATTTCAAATCGTGATTCGAATCACTTTGTTCGAATCAATTTCCTTTAGACTTTATTTGTCCAGAAATCAATCAGTGTGCAAAGAACTTGTGCAAATAATCTTTACAATAATTTGAAAGGTATTTGTCTTTAACTCTTACATAAAGCTAAACAAACCTACTTAAATTATGTTGTGCTTTTGCAAAGAATTCAAACAGTAGGAAAATGATATTTTTCAACAAATCATCACTACTAGACCTTTATAGAATTTTATAGAATTAAGATTGAGAATGATCAAGAGCTGCAATCTTTCTCCATTAATTGTGACTTTTCTTTGAATTGTGTTGGTCAAAAGATTCCTCAACACTAATGCAAGTTTTCAGAGAGTTTTTTTAACGTTTAATCATCATTTGAATGGCAATTAACTATCAAAAGCATGAAGAGGTATCAAACAATAAACTTGAACTAACTTCTAACCGTTGCACGAATCAAACAATGATGGACCTATATCGGGTTCGATGTCGGAACCAGACGTACAAATGACCAAATTTTGAAAATTCTCCAACATCATTCCCCTTCCAGAACAATTGCATGAATTGGTGGCGTACTTGTCAACTTGAATTCTCCGCAGAATTCTTTAACAACTAGATAGTGCAACACAGACCGCAAATGCGTGCATCACGTGTACATCCCTCAATCATTTCAAAATAGGCAGTAGAGATACTGGTTAATTAGTAGCAACATTAACTAAGGCGCTCACCATCAAGTATCAACCCTTCCTATGCCAGTTGGAGTAATGTGCTCTTTCACTTGATCCACCGAAAGGGTTACATTTGTTTTTCTAATTCTGTTCTTTCAGCCAATTAATCCATTTGAGTCTTCCTAGTTTTTCTCACCCTTGAATTTTTAATGTCCAATCAAACCTTTGTTAAGCGTTAGTTGTCATCTCTATATGATGCAATCACGAAATGATCGTCTAAGCTTTGAAATTGTCAAACAAAAAGATCCCTTGTATAGAAACACAACAAAAAAAAAACAAACTAGAAAGATGCATCGATATTAACCAAAACCAGGCATCTAGCTTTAGCAGAGATTAGGATTAAACTAATTCATTGATGGTGATGTTCTTGTCAACAGTTTTTTGAGTAAGCAACTGACTTCAGCTGCTGATATTATGCAAACGTCAATTCCACTGGACCTGTCCATATTTAATTTAACGACAATAACGAAACGAAGACCACAAGCAGTAGGGACAGAAGTTAATCATGCAGGCGACTTCTGTTGATAAATAAATGAAATGCAAAAAAAGCATAAGGCTGGGTCTCGATCCGGGGGGCCATGCCCAGCAAGCCTAGTTTTACACGGTCTTAAAGTTATATTTTTCAGCAGTGAACTCTCTATAAATAATGTACTGAGCAGGGACCTGGCCACATGCTCTCGCGGATGGAACAAAGAAGAAAAGAAGCATTGAGAGGTTCCTCACGCAGGAGAGATGGCGCCTATGACTATTCCGGTTTCTAGAGTCTGGAGATAGGGGTGGTCATTGGCTGCCATCTCTCTGCGTCAGGAACCTTATATCTTTGCAGCCATGTCCCCTTTATGTTTACTTTTCCAATTTCTACAAGAAATTTATACTAGTTGTTTTCGTTCACAGGGTTCATGTTGTGCGGATTTTGTGGACTAGGAAATGGTCAAAAACGGCGGTCCCTATGGTCATATCTTGTTTCCCTCATCTTCTTACGGCTTGAATTTACTATATCCATAATTTTCCTTCACGAATTGCATCTGACCTATCAGCCCCAACATTCCTGCAGTTTTGTTCTTTGATCCATGTGGCTGCCTCTGCCAGTAGTTTACCATTATCAAGTTTACATGTTCACACCTCGGTAATGTTTCTTTTCACCTTATGCTTTGGTTGCTTCCATTTTAGCTACTGAACAAATTACCGACACTTTTAGTGTATGTAGTAAGAGAAGACATGCGTTCTGCGGATTCCTGAAACTTAAAAAGGTACCTGCATAATCTAGTCGGGACTCCATTTTGGCTTTCTCATGCATATCACTATGCTGAGAACTATTTTGTTCAGTAGAGTCAACGTCAAACCGATGGCTGTAGCTCTTTGTAGTACCGACACTCCTCCCACTTGGATGCGGGGCAGGTACAAGCGTGCCTGAAATGTGTAATTTTTTTTTTAACGATATGTAAATTTCTTTTACTTCTTCGTACCCTAACAATAGGGTGTGATATTCTATTATTGTTCATGTGAATTACACATGTAATAATTATATTTTTATTGTTAAATTTTACAAGTAACTCGTGTAAAATTACACATTATTCAAAAAATTATTATTCTGAATGATTGTTACTGACAAGCGTCTAGACTAGACCTTTATCCCTCCCCACTTTGCCTGCGCAGTAAATTATGCATCAAATTTGATTGTAGTAATTCGTATTGCTTGATCAGGCATATGCAATTGCCATTACTCTTAAACTATATTTGCAAAACACTCAGCTGTATTCACACACGTGTGGCCTTATTAATCACTTCTCTCTTGAAGTAATTTTCTAGCATATCATCTCTTTCTTGGATACAAGAATGATGTTGAGAAGATGTACGTGTTCTCTCT